TGAAGGGGTTACGATATATACAAAAATAAATAAAATACTTGAGCATTCAGTATCTTAACTACTTCACATTCATATTCTTCTCCAAGGACTTGCATTTTAGACTGAGTAGTCAACACAAAATCTAATAGAAAATGTTTTCTAATACTTCTTACAAAGGTTGGAACAGAGTTCTTTCTTAGTACAATACAGTGATATTCTTGCAACATGTAACTCTGATGAATACGTCACAGGACTCCATTCTGCTGCTAAAATTTTCTTAAGATGTTTGTTTATTACAATGCCTCACATATCTGTTCAAACATTGCATACAATGGATTCTGATTGCTGATATGATCATCAGAATATGCTGGTTCTCGAGAGCCAATGGAATGCTGCCCACTGCTTACTAGGACAGCTGTCACATGGTAATTGTTATGGTTTAGTTGTTTGCCAGGCATTCAACTCTAATGACAATACATTTGCAGCCCCATCACATATCTCAACACAGAAACTTTCTCTTCCTGTCTACACAATTGGCAAGCCTCAACACAGCAATTTTCCTTTCTCACTTCTTATGTCAGAAAGCCTCTCTGGGCAAGTCTATTTTTCCCACTTGCTATGCCAGAAAAGTCTCAACACGACAATTTTTCTTTCCCATTTACATGACAGGGAGTCAAACTCCGAGGTCTGTAGTCCGCAAGCAAACTATACCGAACAAGTGACCGCCACTTGTCAGCCAAGTTACATACAATTTAAATAAAAATGTGGGTGATCTGTAGAGTAACGGGTAAGAATTCATATAAGTCATACAAGAACCTCATTATTGAAATATATTGTAACGTGTCTGCGATCCAGAAGAGTCACTGCTATGGAAACGCTACAATAGACCGTTACAGAGGAGACAACAATTGCTCCATTGTAGTTCTAACAGGAGTCTCCATGGTTATAACAGAGGGTTCGTTGACTAGCAGCGGTCAAGGTTATAAAAGCCCAGCTTCGACGAAAAGTCTTCATCGAGCCATCGAAGAAAAAAGTCTCGGAATAGCCTCCAAAGAAGAAAGCCCTGGAATATCCGCTGCAGAAAGGAGTCTGCTATACACCGCCAGCGAAGCCAGTCCAGTGTCGCCGAGAAATTGTGTAGGCTAACAATTGTAAAGCGTGTGATTGTGTAAGCGTGAAGAACGATAAATGTTCTACGGAATTTGAGGCCTACGTGAACTTATTTGTAGCGTGACAGACACAAAACACGCCACAATATTTTTAAATGCATTGTCACACTTTAAGAACACTATATTGTGCTTTTTATTACTTCTAAAGTCTGAAAGGCTGTTTTGGAACATTTGTTGGAATATGGCTGGTCATCAGTTCCCAGCACCATCTTTCTCCCCTTGGCCTAGTTATTAAAGCTCCCTATTTCAAGTTATTCACATAACTTAATTTCTCTATCACGCCTGTTACCTGAATGGCCAATTGTTTACAAGTATTCCAAGTTTTATAATTTGGCACATTTAAACACACCTTTTTCTTCATAAAGTTTGCACAATAATTTATAACTTACTAAGTTTAAAACGCATCTCATATGTGCATATATACAGAGTGTCAGGATGAAAGGTATCCAAAATAAAAAAATGTATATCTTGGAAAGTAACTGTCATACACGTATCCAGATTATATCATTGGAAAGGAAAACGCTCGGAAGTTTTCATCACGCCCTACATACGTGCATGCGCCAGCTGACCTTCGGCAAGCTCAGCAACGATGTTGACACCACATATACAGGTTCAATGCATGTTGTGGCTAACAGAGTTGCAATTTCTTACGGATGTCCAGCATAGTTTTAGAATGTATATATGGATGTCAACCTCCTACATGGAAAAGCATTTGGTTTTTGGACAACAAACTGAGGACTATAGGTAGTCTTGTTTTTCGTAAAATCTCCTGGAAGGACATGGATCTCTGAAGAAAATGTCCATTGCATTATAGAAGCATTCCAGCTAAGTCTGTGCAAATCAATTCGTGCTGCTAGTTTGCAGTTTAACAGTGCACAATGTGCTATACAAAAGGCTCTGCCTAATAGCATGACAGCTTCAACTGATTCATGCAACAAAACCAAATGATTGAGTAACTGTGGACATGCTAGGAAGAATTGACGCTTCACCTGATTTCCTCCACCAAGTGTGCTTCTCGGACGTGGCGACGTTCCATGTCATTGGAGTTGTAAACAGGTACAGCTGCAGGATTTGGGGCAGTCAAAATCCATATGAAACATGTAAGTTGGAGAGAGAGATCCCATAGTGAACGTACAAGCTGGCTTAATGCACGACAAGTTGATTGGACCATTTTTATTTTCAGAAAAGACTGTGAACGCATGCTCGTACTTGGATATGCTGGAGCTGTATGTGCCACCCAATTAGCACGTCAAACTATCCTCCAACAAGATGGGACACCGCCAAATTTCTGCCACCATGTTAGGAAATCACCTGGACAGAAAAATGGCTGGGAGATGGACCAGCAGAGGTGGACCAATCACTTGGCCTCCTATGTCATCAGCTTTAACCCCACTGGATTTTTCTTGTTGGGTTATGTGAAGAGCACTCTCTACCAAGTTACGATCAACGACCTTCAACATGTGAAAGCCCACATAAGGGATGCTGTGTCTATGGTACCACTAAACATGCTTCAAACAGTAATGGAACAAGGTCGAATATCGTCTGGATATTTGTCGTGTCACCAAGGGATCCCATACTGAAATTTACTAAGTTATATATTCAGAAAAAAAAACTTTGATAGTTTCCCTTCATAGTGGTGTAACCCATAAATGTGTACAATAAATGCTTTCTGAGATATAATTATTTACTTTTGGATACTTTTCATATGGACACCCTTTACATAAATGAATATGTTATGGGTACTTTCAGTGAGACTGATTAAATAATTCACCACCTTATTTTTTCACGTTCATAAATCAGAAGTCCATATTGGATCTTCTACAGCATCACAAGTATCAAGTAAAATGAAAATTATAATACTAACTTCATCTTTAAAATGAAAGTATTTTCTAACAGTGTATGGTTCACATGAAAGAGATATATTCACTTGGATCTATGTGATTTTATAGATTAGCAAATTCTATAGAATTGCAGTAACTCAGTGCTCCCTGCAATACAATCTGTTCTTCAAACAATTAAAAAAAAACAGCAACATACGTTAGAACAGCATAGTTTTACACAAGCCTTTAACTTTCATCAAACTGCAGTCATTCCATAAACTTGAACATTTTTGTCTATATCGGCTTAATGATAATAAGAGTAGGGTGCAACAAAACAACACAAGATCAGGAAGCAGGCCACAAAACCTGAATGTATTCAAGATTGCAATTTTCAGCTGAAATGGGCTAATGTGTACTGTCACAAATATGGTTTCCTTGTTATTCTGAATGTACAAAGACCACATAAATTATAAAGATGATAAATTTTTATTCAGAATTTAAACAAAGGCTGTTATATTTTTAGCTTGATCCTTAAATTTTAGCAGCCTAAGAACTCAAAAGAATATTCTTCAAGTTTACCTTAATTATACTGAATTCACCTTCTTTAGAATTTCAAATTTCAAAGCTCATCTAGTGAAAGTCTTTCTTCTGCTGAAAATTAAAGAATTTAAATAATCACATAATATTAGTTATGAGTAATCCATCTAAAACAATGGACATAATGACAGAAAACTTTGTATTCTTCCATGAAACAAACATGATGATCATGACTGAGTGGAGTAACGCTTGATAAAAGTTCATGTCATAACACTACAGAGGCGAACATAAAATATTTATTTCTGAAAATATCAAAATTTCTGTGAAATCTTGCAGAGACACAAACCAGGTGGAACTGCACTGCAGCAGACTCTCCATATCTGCATGCAGAATATCCATAAAAATTATTTGCTTTGTAGATTATCCACAGATCTTTAAGATGCCCTTATTTATTGAATATAGCTTACCATAATGAATTAACTATTGCCATTTACAGATGTTTCAATAACATATTTCAGTCATGCTTTATGATTTGACTAAACAGGTTAGTCTACATGCAACATCCTAGAATTGTATTCCGAAGGTGCTCAGTTAAAATCTCAGCCAGGATAGTGTCTATCTCTATTGAAGTTTTTTGTGGTTTTCCTCAGTCCAGCAGAACAAACAGTACCTCAATCAGGCCACAATCACTTCCTTACAAACCCCTGCCAATTCATCTATCATCATACAATCTGATGCTATGTATTCTTGACATGGAGATGCATGTTAAATAATCCATAGAAGGAAAGTTTTATGATTTGCGACAGGCTGTATATCTTCTCACACAGCTGCAACTTTCTGTTTATTATTTTATTTTAAAGTTTTTGTGCCGACACACTATCACTGAACAAGGGTTACTCTCTTCTATTGGAAAAATATCTTGTCTGGTGAACAGATAAACAACCAGCAAGTAATAATTAAGGGATTTTCAGGTTTAATGCAGAATGTATAGTTGACATTTCCAGATTTCTTAATCATCCATTGTTTTTAATTATATGTGCTATTTCTCCCCTCCACTATTGCAGATAACCAAGAATTCAATGTTCAAGTAAATTATTTCAGTGGTCAGTAAGAAATTATGTTCAGTCATACTAAGTTTTCTTCTCAGAAAATTCACCAGATTTGTAATAATATCAAGGATTATGAACTATAATAGCTTTACACAAATATTTAGTGAAACTTTCACTCCTACGTTTGTAAGGAGAAAATTGGGAAATGTCTGGGTAGCTTTGATGTGTCATAACCAAAGGCACATTTAGCAAATGCCCTCCACACCTTCTAACTGCCTCTTTTATACTCTTCACACAGAAACTTACAGTTCAAACAATAAGCTGGCTGGTCTCCATTTAACTACACATAAACCAGTAATATTTTGCATCATTTGGAATTGAAGATATCCATAAAAATACACATTCATGGCTTACCCTGATCACAGCAGAAATAACAATAACACATATCTGAGTTCTCTCTGTATTCCATGACTTGCAAATAAACTGAAACAATACAAGTGACCTTTCAAGTACAACTGATTACCTCATCATATGGAGTTAACATAGTTTAATCATCATTTTCTAGTAACAAAATTACTTAATATTTATACATATTACAAACCTTGGGAATGAAACTTCATAAAATATAACACAGTATAATATTAACAGACTTATTTTGTTCAGTTTACAGTCCTGTGCCTGTACAAAACTATATAAGACCACAGCTGCAGTTTCAAACAATTAAGAGATATGTATAAATATTAAAAAAAGAAGTTACATAAAATAAATAACCAAAAAAATATATATATTTGAAACTAGGAATACATTTGAAACAAACTGTTCACTGAACTGAGACATTACACACATAATCTGCTGAAGTGCGCTGAGAAAGGAATTATTTCCCAGAAATTACTGTAGAAAAAACAGACCAATATATTCAGTATGTAATTAACATGAATGTCAAATTAAAACAGAGAAAGTAATTAATTGCAGTAACGTGGAGAAGAGAAAATGTTGGAGTCAATTTAGCTATACAATAAAAAGTAAACATATCATACAGGATGCAGTAAAATATACATATAATTTAACAATAGGCTGAAGGGTCACAATTTTCAAATGGTGACTTAACTAAAGGAAGGTAAATCACGTAACAGTACTTAAATACTCAAAAGATGGTGCATCATTACATTAGCTGTCTGAGTTAGTGTTGCATCCACTCAAACTTCACAACCACTCTTTATCCCAAAATCACATAAATATGCCTCAGATTTGTATCCTTACACGGTTGGCACAATCCTCAGAATTACGTTATACCCCCATACACTGTCAATCTATTACAACATAAGGCAATATATGTAAAAATTCTCCCTGATAAGACTTCTTTGACACCATTTCATGCCATTCACAGAAATTATCACTGTCTTCATAACTTGCAGCTTCATTCACATTGCCATTCAGACTTTCTATATGCTCAGTGCGCAACTTTCCGATAATTTCTTCTGTAACTTCTTTCACAACAGGACCTTCAAGATCTGAACCTCCAGTCATAGACTCATCCCAACATATTGCATCTACATCAATGGGAGGAAGCTTGGCAAGAATATCTTCAACAGTTCGATCCTGAATGTTCATCACTACAGCACTGGCACTCTGCGAGTCTTTAGAAGATGAGGATTGCCGGAGAATGTCCTTTGACAGTTTTGATAATGAAGACACTTCGGCTGGAGATGAATTGTAATTGTCCCCACCACTACTGCCAGGAAGAGACCCCAAATGTTTCTGTAACCTCAATTCTTCAAGTTCTTCAAGAGATAAAATAGAAGGATCTTCCTGCATGGGATGAAAGTCTGACTGTGACTGAAGGAACTTTGCAATATGTTCAGTTTTGTTCCTTGATATTTCTAAGGCATCCGTGGGCGTTCCCCGACTCATAAGAATGCACTTTGCAAGACTAGGTTTATTTTCAAATGAAGGTACATTTACATTATATAATTTATCTTCAGGAAGGTTTCCACTAGCACCACCAGTCTTGGCTTGTACACTAGCAACTAATTCCTGTGTTGTTTTCACTTTAGGTGTCCGTGCTTTGGATGCTATTTTCTCCTTCAGAATATCACCCACAGATGTGGCCTGCGTTACAGAAGCACTAGCAGACAAACGCCTCAACTTTGTGGGTTTTTTCCGACGTGTTTTGGGAGGAATAGGAGTGGCATTGGAGCCAATCACAGTACCAGTAATAGTAGTTGAACAAACAGTTGTAGTAACTGTAGTAGTACCAATCAAAGCTGTAGAAGGAGCTGCGGTGTTAGTTGTAGTATTGTGTGCAGAAGTTGTAGTGTCAGTAACAATAAAAGTAGAACAAATACTAGGCCGAGTGAAGGGATCTGGAGCAGATGTTGTTGAAGATGTAACCATAGTAGCCACAGTTGTGGTAGTAGCTGTTGTTACGGTTGTCGTCACAGCAGCAGGGGTCATCTCAAACATCAAATCCACTATAGGCACTTTGTTGTGTGGTGGTGGAATTACCTCACAGCTACTGGAGCCCTGGCTCAAACCACTTATGCTGTCTCGACTACCATCACCATGGATATCAGGCTGTGCTGGCATACATGCCTTCATAAAATCATACCCCTTTACCACTTGACCATTTGGGCGAGTGACTTTTTTAGTTGAGATGTCCTCTGGAGATGGAGAATCTTTCCTGAGTCTCTTATTTGATGCATGTGTCTTGGGTACAGAGTCCATATTTACTAAGATGCTAGGATGAAACTGGTGTCCCAGATCAGCATTTGATGAACCACTACGAAGTTTCACTTGAGGGGCTAGTGGATGTGATTTTGGACTGGTACTTGAATTTGATATGGAGGAAGACTCATTGAAATGGAGACTGGAACTCAAACATGAATCACCTGTATGAAAAGACTTCACTGGAGAGTGGGAATAACCTGGTATAAAATTATTTGCTGCATCCCCACCTGAAGCAAACGTAGGTGAGTAACACCGACCTGTAGCACTGCCAAACTGGGGGAGAATAGGACTCGCATTTGAACGGAGCCCTGGACTTACTTGATGCAACAAGAGATTTGTCCCATTTGTATGATGCATTGCTGTGGGAATGTGAGGACACATGGTGGAACTCCCAGCCGTGTTGTTCTCCTGAATCATGACACGCCATCTTCGTACCAGATCCTTTGCTCGTCTTGCAAGAAGTTCATTTGATGTCTTGCGACGGAGCTCATTGACATATTTTCCCAGACGAGTAGTCTAACAACAATAACATTATTTTAGCTATATTTATTAAAATAGTAGAAATATTCTATAACCTAAACACAAAATAACATGATAATATATTACGCTTTGCTGTGCCTAATGCTTGCAGGATGAAGGAAAGTAAAATGGCAACTGCCATGCTATAAAGTAATAATACATCATACATCAGACATTTGTAACCTGCAGCTTAAAGACCAATTTTTTAGCCCATGAAACCATAAACACCTTCTTTTAAAAATGAGCTCAGGTTACATATTTCCTAAAAATTCTCTTTTTTATTTCTTTTATTTTGCATGTCTTCTGCAGTGCTGGGTTTTTCTTATGAGAATGCTGCTTTAGTTATGTGTTGTCTAGTAGAGATGCAGGACCTCAGATGCCAAAGATGGTAATGGATGGACCTTCCCAAGCAAGCCTGATGATTATAAAACAACCAAACCATTCTAAACCCTCCCTTTTCAAGTGTCAGAATGAAGTGAGCCCAGTCACAGCAAATTCACAGTTACAAGGAATCGTGAATTCCTGTCATCCCACATTTCTTACCCTTAAGCTAATGATGAAACATTCTTCCAATGCACATTTCTCACAGATACCTGTGATAGCACGTGCAGAACTGCAGTGACCTTTCTTCAGGGAAAATGGAATGAAAACCACCTTTCACTGGCTCTACATAAAACTTTATGTGCTTAATTTGAGCACAATTTCCACATTTGAACAGTGTGACTAATAGATTCAACATAATAAAAAACATACTGAAGAGTAATATCAATTGCAGAGACAATGAAGGATAGCTAAAGTGTGTGAGTTGAGGAAAACCTGTCCTTCCGGCAAACTCAGTGACAAAAANAAAAAAAAAACACAATTGTGTTTAGAAATGACAAGTGAAATTATTTGCTCTGAAAAGGGGAATATTAGTCTGTCATGACTTACAATGTGAGGCAGAACAAATGACATTTCTCTCATGAATGAATATACAACGGATAATCTTATGCAAAAGTCTAATGGTTAATGGTTAAAGGGTAGAGTCCAGACTAAGAGAGATACCCTGGTCCTCCAGGTTGGGGGTTGGGAATGAGGCTAAGAACCTCATCCCGTTAAAATAATTTTGTTCAGAAACCTAAAAACCAGCCTTGGGTCATCATGCATCAATCCATTCCTATGGCAGCACGCACTGGTTGTGGAGACTGGCTGGATAGGAGGTCAAGGCCCACCCAGGGCTGTAGCGCCGAGTGGTAGGTAGGTAGGTAAGTAAGTACACTCCTTCCTAAGTCAAGGATTTTTTGAGACAATTGAATGAAAGGATTATGTTGCATCATCTCATAACTAAGAACAGCCTGTCTCATTTTCATCAAATTTTACACTGGAGGTCCCTGCACAAATCTATTAGACCATCTCAAATTTTATATAGATATGCATAAGTAATACAGGGCGACACACAACAGTTGTTACCCTTTAAGCACATTTCTCCAACTTGTTAAAATACTGGCCAAGAAGAGATAATACAAGAAAATATAAGAAGTCACTATAATAAAGTAAAACAGGAAAAGTTGTTAAAACCAGGACAAAATCTCTAGGAATTATGTTAATTCACATATGAAGACAATGACTTCACCAATTCTGACTTCAGAAAACATAACCATTTTAATGAATACAGACAATTTGATGATGGTGCATCAACTATTGAAATTATTTCATACTGGAGATTGTGAAATAAGAACACTGGAAAATGTGACAGAATGAATGGCAGTGAGTGAAACAGGAGATGCATCCTAAACCGGAGATCAACTTCTGAATCCCAAATTTCTACATTTACACATTTGATAAGCCACATATTTCCTTGAGTGACAGCATTCATAATCTGCATCACATATGTATCAAGTTTCATTTCAAAATCTCTGAAACTGATGTTTTTATTTGTGATTCAATATGATATTCCACTGTTCTGACTAAAATGCTAACAGTGTGACTTTTTTCATAAACAAACCATACAGCATACTGGACACAGTGTTAATATTGTGACATGATGCCTGAAAACCAGAATAGTGCAGTCAGAGAAGATGTTCATGGTTAGGCAATGACCCAAATGTTCAAACGATGCCATTATTATTTCACTTATGACAAAATATTAAACCTATACAAATTATAAATCACTCCGTCCAATGTGACCGTAAGTTTCTTACTACATAAAAACTTTTTAGTTTTTATGTAGTAAAAAACTTATGGTCACATTGGACGGAGTGATTTATAATTTGTAACTGTTATTGTGACGGACCAGAATGAAACAAACCAAACTCATTAAACCTATATCTCGCTATGGTACAAAATGCTAAAATTGTATCTCACATCGGTGGGCAATCTTCTGGATACCTCTTCAGAAATATGTGAATAGGTACACTGTACCTACCCACATTAAACGAACTAATAGATAAATAAAGAATGTCATCTTCTGGGGATACAGGGATTGCATCATTAAGGAGGCCACTAAGATTGAGCTCCATCCCAACAAAATGAACAGAGAGGTTGGTTTTCCTCTCTGCAAGTCATGGAAGCCTCTCATCTGCTCCCTCAAGAAAACACCAGAACATGGCGCCAGATCTACAAGGCTACACAGGTTAACATATGCTTGGCAGCTCTAGCCTCAAGACTACTGGGTCAATGCTCACTTGGTAGCCCTGGCTTTTTCCTCACCCCTGACAACTTTCCTCTATCTGCTCTGACCAATTCTCTGCTACCTGCTGGTCTGGCCTTGCTACTGGTCTCTGACCCTACCCCCTCCACTATTGATTTCCCATGTGCCCCACTCTCCTTCCCTCCCTCTGGTCTTATATAGCCAGGTGTTTTCAAATGGTGACTCAGTCCGCTAGCCACCGTCTCATGGATATTTCCTCCCTGAAGATGGACGAGATATGTTCCTCTGAAACATCAGTTCACACAAGATTTACACAGTGTCATATTCCAGAAGACAGCATTCTTCATAGTCACGGCTGTGAAAAGCTCAAATCTTACATAATAAATAAATGTCTAGATAATACAAAATTCAAATCCTCTATCGCACAATGGGGCACGAGGTAGCGTAGTTGGTTGAGGCACTATGCTACAAGCCGGAAGGTTGCGGGATCGAATCCCAATGAGGTGCATTTTCTTCAATTTACCTAATCCTTCCAGCCGCACTATGGCCCTGGGGTCAACTCAGTCTCTAACAGAAATGAGTACCTGAAATATTCTTGGGGGTAAAGGGCAGCCGGCGAGTAAGGCTGACAACCTTGCCACCATCTATGAGCCAAGTGTCTAGAAAATGTGGGAACCTCAACATCTCACAACCATATGGGCCTCCACGGCCTGGATATCTGCTATCCATTGGCATTGCCATGGCACAAGGGTTGAGAGAATGGGGGAAAGCTACAATGGTGTCTTGCTGCCCTAAACAGGAGAAGTGGGGGGCTTTGAGCATAATAACTTAAACTTCTGTGACTGGAAGGAAGATCCACACTAGAAATGTCTGACAATAATTTCTGTTCTTGTACCTCTCTTTAATTCATTTCTTGCTAACCCACTGCTCCGTTGCAAGTGACACAGTGGACTATGTTCACAATCAGACAGTATAACATAAATATCACGTGAGATGACAATTTTATTGGTCTTAAATTTAACGTTTATAGCCCATACGCTGCATTACAGTTATGGCATACCCATGCTCCAGCTGGCCATGCATCACAATACTGTGCTGCTAAAATACACCTTACTTTTGACCTAGCCTACAGCAGTCATAATACACCTTAATTTTCTGTCTATATAAATTCTTTAATGTTTTCCTGCAGTTAGCTATTTATAAATATTGACAAAAGCAGGGTCTTTCTTAGTCACACAGGACCAAGTTCCAATCATGTGAGAGTTCTGTCACATGTATTAAAGATCGTGACATCTTGAAGAAAGTCTAAGTCAAAAGGATTACAAGTTTTCTTGCAAGAGCTGAAACTTACCTCTCAGCCATGTAAATTGGTTAAAAATGATAATCTAACACAACCAACAGCCTGAGAAGATTATATTACAAATTCTCTTACATGTTTATAGTTAAGGAAGGATGAATGTGTGTGTGAGAGAGAGAGAGAGTGAGAGAGACCACTGTTACACCTATCAAACATAAACACAATCACAAACACTGATGTGACAGTTCTATTAAGCTAGTAACAAAAACATCTAAAGAAATTATCAGATATATTATCTGCTTAGTCTTGTTATGTTTGTGGCACTAGCAGAATATACAGAACCATTCTTTTCCTTGTGATAATGGCAGACATTTTGTCACAGAAAGAGATACTGAACACAACATTGTTTCCAACAGTGACCCCAAAGAAACACATTTAAGAGAGTAAGTCTGATGAAACAATCTCATCTGACAGTAAGAGTCAGCTTGCTGAAGTCAGAGTTGCTGTGGATAATTAGTGTGAGTGAAAGCCAAGATTGACTGCCTCTGTGGTCTTGTGGTCAGAGTTCCTGGCTACAGATCCAGAGGTCCCTGGTTCGATTCATGGCACTACCAGATTTTCTGAGAAGTAGTGGGTCTCGAACAGGCTCCACTCAGCTTCGTGAGGATAACTGAGGAGCTATTTCAAGTAAATAGCGGGTATGGTCTAGAAAACCAAGATTAACAGCAGCGGGGATTCGTTGCACTGACCACGCGACACCCTCTATCCACAAAAGTTGGCACTAACTTCGTTGACAAGCGGCAGTTGTTCAGTCAGTATAGTTTATGGACTACAGGCCATGGGGCTTTTTCTGTTTGAAAGTCAAGATTAAATTTGGTCTTGAAATCCAGAAAATGACATCGTTTCATTAGTGACTGCAACAAACTGAAGAAATGAAGTATCCAGTGAGAACAAAGATCCTACACAAATTGTAATTTCATAGCAGAGATCCATCTGTTGGTGGCAGAGACTAACAAATACGAGGGTGGGAACTTTAATAGTGGCAACACTGCTGTAGAGACGCCATGCAACGGAACCAAATAATGTCACTTATACCACATGTTGGTTACATACCTACCTTACCTAAGAGCAAATTGACTCTCTCTTCCCACATCACACTCATGCGCAGTGACAAGAACAACACAGCCTTGTGTTAGCTGGCGGTCTAATGTAGTGTTGTCACAATGTTTCTGAAGGAGGAACAACGGAGTTGGATAAAGATTGAATGTGCCAGAGGCCGTAGAGCACGACAGTGTCATAAAGGTCCTCAAGAGGCTTGCGGGGAATCGGCATTTTCTTACAGAACAGTGGCAAGGTGGGTAAAAGCCTTCAACGAGGGACACCAAAATGTGGCAGACATGCATCGGCCAGGTTGTCCTAGTGTCAGGGAAGAAGAAGTGTATGCTCATTCCGTGTTACTGGAGAGTGATCGACGACATACGTTTTGTGAGCTGGTCCGAGAGACGGAATTAGCATACACAACTATGCTTTACATTCTGAAGGAATGCCTGGGCACGAAAAAAACTGCATCACAATAGGTTCCACATGATTTAACGGACAATCAGAAATGGCTATGATATGACGCTGCTCATAACCACTTGGGACACTATGAGCGCAAAGGAGAGGCTTTCTTATGCTGTATCATTACATTGGATGAGACATGGGTCAAATCGTAGGAGCCAGAAATGAAACACCAATCGAACAAATGACGTCATTATGGGTCACCACAAAAAACAAAAGTTCGTCAGAACCCCAGTAACGTGAAAGTTACGGTAATTCTCGTGTACAGCTGTGATGGTGTTATCCAAGCATACCGTTTCCTGACAGCAGACAGTAAATGCGCAGTATCACTGTTCATTTTTCGAACACAACCTGTGACCAGCTTTGAGAAAGAAGCGGTGACACTTTCTGCAGAACCCACCCATCATTTTGCAGGACAATGCTTGGCCACATGCAGCGCAAGCTGTGGCTAATTTGTTCGATCAATGAGGCTGGGAAGTGCTGTACCATCCAACATACTCCCGGACTTAAGCCATTGTGACTTTGACTTGATTCCTAACATGAAGGAACCACTTCGTGTCATTCGCTTCAGAACTGTTCCAGAGATTCTTCAGGTAGTAGACTGCTCCATTCCAACTATCAACACAACAAGCACTGCTAAAGGTATCCTACGACTTCCACATTGCTGGCAACAGGTTTTACACAATGCTGGTGACTATACTGAAGAACAGTAAAACTTTGAAACATGCATCCATTTTGTATCAGTTGTAAATAAATAGTTGGCACTATTAAAGTTCCAACCCTCGAACAACCAATTTCTAGACACGTGACAATGGATTCCAACTTCCTTGCATAATTATACAGGAAACACAATTTCCAGTAACATAAAAAATGCAACCAGGTTTTTCACTTAATTAGATTCTTATATTTTGGTGACAACATGAATCAGGTAGGCAGCACTGACAAGAATTAGAACAGACTTTGAAAATTTTCCTCTCTCTTTAAAAGGAGATATATTTTCAAGCAATACACATACAGGAGACATAAATCCTTTGGTATAAAGATTTACAAACTATGATAAGATGGACTACTATGACATAAGCATATACTTGTGTAAAAACATGAAAAACTTAACAGAAAATGACAGATACATGTACAATAGTGAGAAGCCTCACTAAGAAAGTAAATCGTGTGTCACAAACTTTACATATAACAAATTTTCGTGACCAGACATATTTGCTGGCCTATGCAGGAGCTATCAACTCCTGCAGAACTGTCAAAAAGATCACATGTGAGACACTAAAATTGGAAAAAGTGCTAAAGTGAGAAGTCACTTGACAGCAATGATCCAAACAGACAACTTAGATCACATACTGATGAAAAACTTTTAAATGTTGAAAGCTACATTCACAATGAGGACAGAATGGCTAATAGTTGTTCAATTAGTATTGAAACATCAAAATGGACAAAAAATATATGTTTTCAAATGTTGAATACATCCTGAATAGATATGTTATCATCATCCTGTGGTAGCAGAACAAAACAACAAAAATTTAATTTTCACCCGCTCGACCTGACTATATGGAATTCGATGGTAGCTAAACAGACCACCAAAAGTGATGGAAATGAGTGCAAGAGACCGTTGTCCTCAAGCAAAATGACCCACAATGAAGGTGGACTTTTTGACGCCCAGACAGCTACAGGATCACACAGGCTTCTGGTGTCTCAGCCAAGAATAAATAAGTGATCACCAAATTTATGTGATCAAAGTGCAAGGTCAGTCTGTGAACAGACTTCTAAATCAGACTTCCATCACAGCATAGTTATAATAACACTTCCAGAACATAGATGCCATATATCTGAATCTATAATCTTCTGAAAATGATTTCAATGACATAAAACAATGAAACTATAGAATTGAGCAATGTATTTTTTGTCAAATAATTTTACTATAACACTATACCAGTAGTAGTTCGAAAGACAAACATTTTTCCAATGGCATCAACATTCCAATCCCACCTTAATTTGGCTACCAGCAACATATGAAATGGAATTTAAATCCCCTACTGTCAAGCAATAAACATTAAGTATTGTACAATAAATTAATGGACAGCATGAAAAAACTTTGTAATGCAAAATATAATCCAGCTGTATCATAAGAAGTGTAATTATTTCTCACTGCCTTTAAAATTAAAGCATACCTCAAGTGCTTCCTTTGTGATGACACTTCTTTCCAAGATGGCAATGATCTCAACCACTGCAGCCATGTCCACAACCTGTCAACATAATGAAACAACTACAAATACTCTGGCAATTGTAATAACAAATCAATGTCATCTACTAATCACAAAATAAAAATGTTAGGGCAGTATCCCTGCAAACTGAAGTTCCAGTAACTGCTATACTAGAGAGAGAGCTTTGTGTTTAAGAGACATGAATGTCAAGTGCACAAATATTAGTTTCCTCATTATACTCACTTCCACATCGCAGAGGAACTTAGAAACTGTTACATCAGTTAGTTAGTTATTGGAGAGGGTGGGTTTCCCCATGCACTTAGACCTGTAGTGGTCCATTGTGTTTCCCTCTATGATTTCTACCAGTCTCCATATCCTACCGGTATTGGTGCTTACCATCAGTCCCGCCCAGCCAGCGAGACCGGCTCTACTAGCTGAGAGGTATCTATAATGCTTCCCCCATCTGCCAGAGGTATTAGTGACTGCTGTTGGGTGGGAAACGTCCACAATTTTGGCTGTGACCTCCTTTGGAGGTATGAGGTTCTTTTACGTGCCGTAAAACTACGACACGGGACCCACGGCTTAAAGTCCCTCCAGGAGGACTTGTTCCCTGAATTTTTCCGCCCTTAAAAATTCGACGACCTCCGCCGGGTATTTGAACTAGTCATGAGGTGGGAACGTTATCTCTAGACTACGGAGGCCGCTGTTACATTAACTCTGCCTTCAAACTAAACAATGCTGAACACAACTATTCATTAAGTTGACACCATTAGGTTTAATGCCCTTACAATTTCTGCTGCATTAACTGAGAAAGTACAAAGTATATGATGTCATACAACCATTATCACAGCTTAAAAAGTATGTTTTGCAGGATATTCTTGAAATATATAAACACAGAAGAGTAGTCTCCATTTACAAGGATTGTTTTGTAACTTATTGTGAAATATAGTATACTCCCTATTATCAACGCAGAGATTATTCTGCTTGCAGCTTATTTGTGGATCACTGTAGGAGCATTTGCACCCCTGCAGAGTGCCTGTTATGCCTGCTCGTCTGTATACATGAAGCAGCTCAAGAATCGCTGGTCAGACTTTCATGAAACCTGACATTCAAGAATTTTATGAAGAACTGTCATACCATTTCAATGTTAATTCAGATTTGCAAATTCTGACAACCACTTTACATAAGACCTATATGTGTTTCTGTGTGTAACTGAAGCAAAACTCACTGCACATTTATCGGAGACAAAATGCTTTGAACAAATATTGTAGAAGAATATGAACCACATGCTTTATATTCAACACACCTTTTTCTTAGTCATACAGTGTCTGAGATAATTAACAAATGGAATACTATGGATATATTTATGTATTCCTGTATTCAACAATCATCATAGTCTCCTAATTATACTGAAAACCTGGATTATCACTTTTTTTTATTAATCATTCATATTTTCCCCTTTCATATCATGTATAATTGAGGGTGTAATGTAGAGGAAAAATGTGAATAGCTGCTTCAGTTTTATGAATCTTAGAATTTTGAGATTTTATCACAAGTTTGTCTGTGAGATGTCAAACAAGAAATGACTTCAAGAAAGCCTATGATTCAGTTAGAAGGGAAGTACTGTACTATATTCTCAAAGAGTTTGGGGTACCCAAGAAACTAGTTAGGCTGACTAAAATGTTACAATTAGTATGTTGTTGGACATTATCCATCATCTTGTCTGTTCTTAAAAAAACACGTTTCAGGGGCTGCATTCTGTCCCCGTCTTCAGGTAAAACCTACTCAATTGGGTCCAATAGACAGAGCTAGCCCCTATCTCCCTAAGAACAGACAAAATGATGGATAACGTCCAACAACTTATTAATTGTAACAATTTACGATCATCACAATCTTTTAGATCTTATTTGGCTAAAATGTGTTTAAATGAAACGTATAGTAAAGTCCGTATAGATAAACATTTGTCCGATTTCATTTCTCATTTATTTCTCATAATTTTCCTATCCAGAATGGTCTAAAAAAAGGAGTTGCTTTATTGCCACTAGTTTCCAACTTTGCTTTAGAATATGCCATTAGCAAGGTCCAGGAAAACCAGGTGAGACTGAAATTAAATGGGACACATCAGCTGTTGGTCTATGCCGATGATGTGAATCTACTGGGTGATAATACAGATACCACAAAGAAAATCGCACAAACTTTAACTGACACAAGTAAGGAGGTTCGTCTAGAAGTAAACACAGAAAAAAACTATGTATATGTTGTCTCATCACCAGAATGCAGGGCAAATTATTACATGACATAAATACAGGTAACAGATGCTTTGAAACTCTGGCACAGTTCAAGGATTTGTTAATGCCAGTATCAAAGGAAGTTAAGAGGAGACTGAATTCCTGTAATGCTTGCTACCATTCAGTCCAGAAATGTTTGTCTTCTCGCCTGCCATCTAAAAATGTAAAAATTAGAATGTTAAAAACTATAAATTTGCCTATGGTTCTGTATTGGTATGAAACTTGGTCTCTGACATTAAGGAAGGAACACAGACTGAGTGTGTTTGAGAACAGGGTGCTGAACTGATTATTTGGACTTAAGAGAGATGAAGTGAGAGGAGAGTGTAGCAAATTACATAATGAGAAGCTCTGTAACTTATACATGTCACCAAATACAATAAGAATGATCAAGTCAAGGTGGATGACATGGACTGCACATGTAGCACACATGCGGGGGAGAAGAGATGCATTTAGAATTTTGGTGGGAAAGCCAGAAGGAAAGAGATGACTAGGAAAACCAAGATGTAGGTGGGTGTGTAAGATGGTTGAGTTTCTGTATATAATCAGGATTCTGTTAAACAAGGGGGGAAGGAGGGAAGGGAGGGAGAAAGGGAATTGGTGCCTTGTCTAAACCAACAGGGACAGTGGACCTAGAAGTCTGCTCAGCCAGCCCTTTTAAGGGTAAGAGTGTGCAACAAAGAAAACCCAGCAACTGATGTTCCCAAGAGCGCACCCATCCAAATATTAATTTGGCATAATGCTGTTTGGCTATCAATACTGGGGCCAAGCAGGAGAGTGGTAGGGAGATCACCATGGGTCAAGGAGAGGCTTTGTCAAGATATAGGAAGGAAGATAAGTTATCTTAGAGGAAAGATGATCTTACACAGAACAGCTGACTGGTTGGGTTTTATTCTTGTGGGGAGGGGGTGGGCCTTCATGGAGCTGCTGTAGCAATTTTCAAAACAGGATCCTATAAATACACAAAAATTTGCTCACTTCACAAACTTCAAACTGGATGGTAGAGGTAGCATACTTCCCTGAAACAAGCAATATCTCACACATCCACACAATGTAAAAGCCAAAGAACAGAATTAATATCAATAATTAACCACCATGAAAGCTTAAAATCGGTAAGCATACAATATAAGTTAAAACAAATATACTTGCAGACAGGAAATGTTACTGACTGCATTATGATTGGAATCCCATTTTCTCAGCTTCATATGCAAACACAGACCAACTGAACACACAGGATAAACCATATTATAACCACAGCCATTTACTTTCATATGGTGGCCTTCCTAGTGTCATAACATGATCAAAATGTAACATAATATTGTTGAACATCTGGTCCAAGGTTACATGGACATACCATAAAAATAAATAATGAGACTCCTACCTATATGTTAATTATGCAATCAGATTAGGTTACTTACAGCACAAAATCAGAGAGATAAACTTTATCATCAAATGCACTCAACTTGGGGCACATCATGTTAGTTAATAATTTCTGTCCATGGATTATGAACCATAGGAATATGAACATTTGATACGGATGGTAACAAATATAGCAAAACCAATATCAATCAGATACATGTACTTACTGAGTTTTATTTCAATACAACCCAACATGCTTTTGTTTTCATGACTTCCCATTAATGAGGACATTACACAAAAAAAACTTTTATTAATCAAGCACAGCTACAATGTTTAGTCCTGTACATTCAAAGGTATTCTGATTAATTTTAACTACCAAATTTACACTTATATGACCACAAAAACAATGCAATGTCTGATTTCTGTCTCTAGCTTAAAAGGTTCACTTCAGTACATATCTTGGTATAGAAGTGCAAATTTGTAAAATATATATTTCAATAGCTTCAAAATGTAACCAATTTTTCTTTTAGAATAATTTGCACTGCCAATGGGAACATGAATTAAATAGCCTGCAGCAAATGTTATCACAGAACTGTGGCAAAACTGAAGTAATCCATGAACACAACAAAGCTATAAATGTGTGACGCTGCTAAAATAATGAAAGAATGAAAATGTGTATGTGTGCAATATGATAAAACTGTTACAAACTGTTAAACCGAAAGGTTAACAGAGGTAACCGCCTGGGTTTCACAGTTTAGATTATTCACACTGTAGTCTTCTGGGCTATGACACTGTGTAGTCTGGCAGATGGGTATGAATATTTTAGAAACTTCACCTTGGTACCAACCTACCAGACTAAACACTGTCATAATACTAGATGAAACAATATAATTATTCTTCACCATGAAAACCTCAGAAAATCTTGTATTTAGACCACTCACTTCAATCTTACCACCATTTATCACGTGGACGTGCACACATGTATTTCCTTTTCAAAAACATAAAAATTCCATTTCAACAATATGGCATGTTTTGCTGGTTTTCTGTTCAACATTATGGCTTATTTCACTGAATCTTTGACATTAGTGATAAAAAAACTTGTCATATGCTACAAATATTAATGTAGTACAAGTGGTGATTTCTAATAACAATGCTACCTGTGCTAACGCAACATTTTATTCCTGCCCATTACTAAATAATATATTTAAAATAAAGAAATAAAAATCTTCTTTTGGTGGCAATTTTAAGATTCTCAACTATTAGGACAATATTCACAGAAAAGATCAATACTGTAAAGCTGCCTTTCATAATAAAATTAATTCCTTTGTACTTTCTAGTCAGGTTCTTAATTATGTATATATAAGAACACCTACAGGTAATTATTATCACTATTATAATAGTTATTGTTTTTAGTTGAATCTGTCCCATTAATATTGCAAACATGAATTTTCTACATTCCTGGAGAGACATCATGGCTATTCCACAATGTCATGTGTACTGGAAATATTACTACAAAGTATATAGAAATGCCCAGCTGTTCATTATATTTCAAATCTGAAATTCTTACCAGGAATTCTCTTATGAACTATACATAAACAGTCAATTAAAACTAATAAGAAAAATGCAGGGAACAATGCATGTATCTCTATCGAAACGGTTACTCTCACCTTCGAAATCCCTAAATGTTACTGTTATTTTACTTCATTTCTTACATATTGGGTTCCCTTTCATGTGAGAAGTGAAATCTGCTCCTACGGCTTGTAATTTAAACATTATAGGCCACATCTGTGGCACCTTCTAACATACTCAAAAATAATGTACAGTGCTTGTTGATTTCGCTAGTCATAACAAAACACCTGCATCATGCTACTGAAATAACGTTTCCAGTCTTTTACGAGGCTCTATTAACAAATCTTCAAAAAAATCAAAATGTTGACAAGTTTTCTGCCCTAACCTCAAATTTGCCGTATTGGCTAACAACACACAGCTAAACTGCCATATATCTACTACAGTGTTTGGTTATGGAAATTCAAATGGCCCAAATTTGGTTCATAGTAACAGGCAAAATGTCATAAATAAATAATTCGCAAAATGCATACAATGTGCATAAGGGCATATAGGTCATCGCAACTAAAAACACATTTTCGTGCATTAATTTAATCGATTATATAATTCTATTCCATTGCATACAATATTGACAGAAAAATAACATTTAAATTTAAAACCCGATTTCTAATGTATTCTATTATTGTATAACATCAAACCGGAGCAGAAAAAAAATTACAAAATAATAATCGAATAAAAGACAGCTTAGTCGCCCAACAACCGGAACATACTCAACGCGACATTGCGCGTGCGCTGTGCCGCGTAAGTGAGGTGGACCAGGGGTAAGACGTCTTCTTGGAGCTCCTCGAGCACAATTTTCACACACAAAATTGCAGGTTTAATCACTATTTCGGTGCTAATCCTTGGTTTTAGCGGAATCTGTGCACATTTTTTGTCTCGAAAGTCTGGACCTTTAGACGGAAAAGGGTATACTTGTACTTTTATCGAGTGAAAAACTTGCACCTGAAGTTGGGATATACACGCCACTTTCACAGCGCATTTCGACGGTTCGTAACTTGCGTCCGGATTTTTGCCTATTTCGGTGTCAGATTTGTTGCAAATCTTACTTAGAGCCTTACATTGTATTCCTTGTCGAGTGCCTTTAGTAACTTTTCCTTGATCTCCGAAGGAGAGTGCTGCATGAGGCCGTACTGGGTCTCGGACTAAACAGCTCCGCAACCAACGTACAGCCACCAGCACTTATGGCGGACATGTACTATTGAGGAATTCTGGGAGCGTAATATAACTTCGCGACAACTTCCGAGCCTTTCCGAATATGACGTCACTACAACCGAAGCCCGATCGTCTTGAGGATCTTGAGTAGCCTACTGTGTATTCCTGCTTCGCAAAATCTATCCGGTACAGCTTTTAACAACACATTTCTCTCCACGATTTTCAGATTAGTAAACTGTTTTACTTACGCATAAAATGTTTGTGATGAACATTGTAATGAAAATTTTGTCTAAGGTAAACGTTATGTACGGTGTTGCCAACTGTGACGTATGTCTGCAACGTGTTGTACAAACATTAACTGCAGTGAAATTCGTTCAATACCCTCTGTCGAGAGACAACTCAGGCTCAGCTACGAATAAAGTTCCTTTCTTTTTTCATCGCAGTTATGTCCACACTGCCTTAATCTCCACGGCTTGTATAGGTATTAAATTGGCCCATATGTGTGTTCGTATCATAAATGTTGACATACGTACAAGTGGCGACACTATGCAATGTAGTACGTTTCAGGAAACTTGTTGTGTATCACAGTGGGATACATGCGTCGATACAAAATGTAATGCAATCTGTGAAATCAACATTAGCTGCCATATGTCACTGTTGCGCAGAAAAATAAGTCGAATTTTTCAGCCGTTAAGCATATTGTCCCGCACATTTGTCAAAAGTTGCGCATCTTCCCACGCATTGTTTATTTCGACCTAGGGCCCAAAATGGGACATGGAAATTATGTAAAACAAATAAAAAGTTTATGAAAAATAATATTGTTGCGTGTTGGGTATGTGACGCGATAAATAACTTCACGCCGTTCTGGATCTAGTGAATTTATTGCACATTCGCTCTTACATTTACACAATTTACAATCTCACAACTACTGCCATCAGCAGTATCACACTTACTTCTCCTGCGGGAGTCACTGCCATTCGCTCGATACAACTCAATAACAGTGGACTTTAACTCACTCCAGCGAATGCTAGAATGCAATGACTGGTTACTCCGGTAATTCTCCTCGTTATGTAGCTTCCGAACTGACGACACAGAAAACAGTTACGTGATACCACTGTTGGGTAACGTCGTGTTTACAGGCGTTTCTGGGAAACGCTGCTGAGAGTTCTTTATTGCTGCGTTGTAACCGGGGGGCGGGAGGATGTTTACCGAGCGTTGCACCGTCCACGTCACAATATTATACCTATCTCATTAAAATCTATTAAGTTAGCCTTCTACTTTCTCTAAACATGTGTTGATATCGAGTATGCTTAAAAATAAAAGTGGTCAAAGACATGTCTAGCTAATCAAAGAACGCGGTTGCGAAGTTGTTGAAAGAAAGTCGGTATAGCAACGGGCTACGGGCAGGAAGGCCGGCGTTCGATTTCCGGCAGGGGTGAGATCTTTGTATTTTCCATAGCGTCCGTATCGGCTCTAGGATCCACCCATCCTTATATCGAATGGGTACCGGGGGTGAAGCTGACCACTCACCACCACGGACGAGGTTAATAATGGTGCAGTTACACCTCCACTCCCCCTGTATGTCTTCATGGCATAGTGCTTGATTAATAAGCATACGGACAACTTTACCCTTTACTTGGGAAATTTATTTTTCAAAATTGACCAGTAGCGAATAGTTAATCGTTCCAAAATCTGCTACGTTTAATACGAATGATAATAGAAGGATAGAATACTTTCATGAAGGATACCTTAAGTATTTTCTCATTTGAATATTGTTTACATTTCAAATTCCATAATCACAGACGCAGTTGATACATATCTAAAATCTCCCCTCCAAAATCGCAAGCACTTAATAAAACTATCGTGTTTCACTGATATAGTACAATTTGACAAAAGACCGACAGAGGTATGAAGCAAGTGCTCAAGAACACGATAAATGCATTTGCCAGTGTCAGCGTATATATACCAGAGCACCCTGTTCATGGCGGGACCCCCATACACGAATCTCAACCATTTGACACTGAAGCTCTTCTTCGAAGCATCCCCCACGTGCTCAGCATTCTGCATCATGATACGTGTATCATCACGTGTATTAATGATTATGGGACCCTTATTATTATTATTATTATTATTATTATTATTATTATTATTATTATTATTATTGGAGGGGGTGGGTTTCCCCATGCACCGCGAATAATAGTCTTTGTACGTCCCCCTTTGATATTCTACCAGTCGCCATACCCTACCGGTACTGGTGCGTGCTATCAGCCCCATTCAGCCATCGGCCCTCGGTACCCGATGCTTCCCCCATCTACCAGAGGCATTGGAAACTACTTGGGCGGGAGACTTGCCTAATTTTGCTCAGAGGTCTCCTAGAGACATGAGGATCTTTTACGTGCCGTAAATCTACGACACGGGACCCACAGCTTAAAGTCCTTCCCGGAGGACTAGTTCCGTGAATTTTTCCGGCCTTAAAAATTCCACGACCTCCGCCGGATTTGAACCCGCGTACCTTGAGTCATGACGTGGGAACGTCACTATGGGACCCTTACCTTATCCTTATTCTCTTCTTCCCAAACAGCGTAATCTCCCATAATACACATTGTTTTCAACCGGTTTATTTTCACGAAATGAAGTTTCATAACGAAGCAAGGGAATGACAACTCAGAAGTACATGAACAGTCAAAATCTGTACACAACCAATTCCTCGGAGAATAATGCTTCCTGAGAAGCTGGTACAATAATACCCGACATTTACCGACGGTTAAATATCGTGTTCACAAGTGACCGACCTTCACCCCTCCTTTAAGCTTAATTTTAATACTCATTTCGTTTTTTATCTGACTAAGATGTCCTGAAACCAAAACTTAAAGCAACATATTGTACCTTGATTTAATAAGGAACTGCATTCGTAACTTTCTTAGATTTCATCCTGGTGATTTTAAATTGTTTTCATGTGTTTGACCATTATTGGATATATACAGAACGTACGTGCAAGACACGAAAGTAAAAGTAAAGTAAAGCTATCTCTGTAACAGACCGTGGAAGTCCATAGGGTTATGAGATGTTGAGGTTCCCACATTTTCTAGACAATCTGCTCATACGCGTAGATTGTGGCAAGGTTGTCAGCCTTACTCGCCGGCCGCCCTTTACCCCCAATAATATTCCTTGTACTCATTTCTGTTAGAGGCTGAATAGACCCCAGGGCCATAGTGCGGCTGGAAGGATTAGGTCAATTAAAAAAAATCCAATGACCTCATCGAGATGTGAACCCACTACCTTCCGGCTTGTAGCATAGTACCTCAACCAACTACGCTACCGCGTGCCCCCAGACACGAAAGTGTACTAGATATTTCTTTGTGTGGACATAATGAACGAATTATACCATACCGTAATTCTGACGTAACAGGCTTAAGAAGACGTGGAGTTTACAACACCGAATTGCTGCGTTTTGGCAGAAGGATTGTATATTTTGTTCACCTCTTGCATCTTAACATTTTATGTTTCATATAGAAGTGGTTGCTTTATCCATCGCGAAAAGTACAATTATTTGTCATTACTAATTACTATGTTGAAAAGGTTCTAAACATTATAATTAATTCTTTACAGTTGTCTTGAAGCAAGAATTTTTAATGATATCCGTTTCGTACGAATGCTCAAATTAGAGAACTTAAACTGAGTGTTTTTGAGAACAAGGTGCTAAGGAAAAATATTTGGACCTAAATGGGATTAAATAATAGGAGGCTGGAGAAAACTGCATAATGAGAAACCCCGTAACTTATATTCATCGCCAAATACAGAATGATGAGTTCAAGGAGGATGAGAGATGGGACATGTCTCACGCACGGGAGAGAACACTGCGTTCAGAATTTTTGTAGGAAACCCCGAAGGTAGACTAAGATGGGAAGATAATATTAAAATGTATCTTAGATTAATTAGCTGGAAAGGGGGAGTGAACTGTATTCATTTGGCTGAGGACAGGGACCGTGGCCGGCTCTTCGGGCACTAATATACCTCCTGATTCTTTTCTTAAAATGCTGGAAATTTCTTGAGGAGCTCGATGGAGATAGCTTGGTTCCGATGAAATCTAGCCAAGCGTAATTGTGATATGCCTATTTGAAAGTATGCATTCTGGTGGTAGAAGCTGCGACTTTCTCGCGAAATAGGTCCCATGAATTGCGAACATTGCGAGGTTTTGTAAGCTATTCAGGTCGATAAATGTCATCTGTTCTGATGTATGCGATATATGCCCATAGGTAATAACCCGTATAATAATGTCAATATCGTCAATATGTTGTTGCGGTGCAAAGGAGCATTTTAATCGCCGTGCCGTTTTTGTTTGTCAGTTTAAAAAGTCGAAGTATATATTGTTTGGTTGAAAGGTAAAATGGCCAGCCGCATTGTTTCGTCTGCTACAGTTAAGGCGGTAAAAGGAAGACGGCTTATGCAGTCTAGGGCTGCTTTAGTTTTGGTGTGTGAAGAGAAATTTACAGTTTTTGCATATGATATGTAAGAACCTAACCTAACCTTTTGTGTGTACATTTGGATGACTTGAGCGCTTTTATTTTTCAGACACCAGCAGCTGTTAAAAAAATAAAGGAGATCCTGGCTCAGAAAGTGGACAGTGTATGTATCCAGAATAATTTTCTTTGACTGAAACAGNTATATATATATATATATATATATATTTCTTTTGTTTATATATTTACTAAAGAGATGGCAAGTACGTATATCATGGCACGCACATTAGTATATGAAACCAGTTTTATTGCTGGTGATGTGTTTGGTTTAAGTGTGTACCATCTAACGCTAGTGTTGTGCTGCAATTTTTTTTCATGTTATTGGTTAAGAAACAATTTATACAGAGCATAATTTAGATGTTGGATTGCACAGTGCCTTGCTCTGTTACCACCAATCTGAATACAAAGCCAGATTCATGAAAGTGTACTGTGCATCTCAAAGTGTGTAATGATGTGATTAGCTGTTGCTGAAACCAGCTTATACATTGAAGATATCAAGCTAACATATAACTTCTGAGAAACCTCATAGTTACCAGAGTACTGCAAGAAAGGCACATGAGACAATTTCCATCCCAGTAGAATTCTGCCATATGGATACAATGTTGACAGATGACTTGAAACACCAAATTTCAAGCTTTGACAAACATGTATCCACCATTACTGTATTTAATTGTTGAAGATTTTACTCAACATTGATAGGGTTAATGAAACAGATCAAAGTGCATCCTTATCTAGTGACCAGCTGCATTCAGCAAGTTAGAATGGTGTTAGGTTTAGTAAGTGTAACATCAAAATTGCGGGATGATAAGGTGTTCAAAGTGGTATACATGATTACATACAGTTATGAATGACCATAGCTCAGTTGTGTAATAACTAGGCTGGATAACCAAGGAATTGTGGTTCAGTTCCTGATTTCCAGTGGGTATAGGTGGCTCTTTCATTGGGGTAAAGTAGCCAAGGCATGAAGATGACCACACACCTCTATCAAGTACTGAGGCTTACCATGTATGGAGTGAGGTCAGTTCCAAAACATGTAGAATGTGATATACCATGTTTCTGGAATGTTATGGCACACAATAAAAAGGTGTTATAACATTTTCACACTGCACAGTGTGAAAATATATTGTTTCTTTCTCTCAGCCCAGAGGTAATTTTGGAAGGTGGTGGAAAACCAGTGCTTATTAACTGAAATGAATTACCAAGTGCTGATCTGAAGTGGTCTGTCTCCTTTAGCAACTTGAGTGAGAAGTCTTGGGGTGACTGGGTCTGTGTATGAAGTGGTGGTGGCATGGAATGATGAAATGATAATTTGAAGGAAACCAGTGAGCTCTTTTTTTATTATTATTATTATTTCTTCCTTATTCCATTACATCTATAGTAGGCAAAAGCCTTAGATACAGAATTGTGTCAATTTATGTTGCTAATACTCTTAAGCAATTGTCAAGAAGACTTATAAAATAAGACAATGTATGTTTACATCATAATACAATTTCTCTCTAGCGTAATACATTAAAATTTAAGATAAAAGGTTCTATCAAAGGTAACAGAATATTTTGGTCATATAGCTTAAACATATATAACAAATCCAAGATATAAAAACATTACATTTATAAAAATACAAAATTACAATTTCATGATGACCACACATCACTCGTCCCCAGTTCAATAAAACATATACTCAGGCCTCACACAGACAGACCAAGCTGTCAGGACAACACACACAGGTGGTGGGAAAACCACTGTCAAATCCACAACCTTCCACTCCACACATATTGGCAAGCCATATCATCGAAACAGTTTATTTTATCTTGTCAATTATATAAAGCAATTGTTAAAAAGACCTATTGTATATGACAAGTTTGTCACATCACATACAACTACTTTCTAGTACAATACACTAAAATTGTACACCACAAATCCCACACTGCACTGAGACTGAAGCTGAGCTTCCACAGTGAGAAGCCAGGATCTAACCACCTCAATTATGGCATGGTGTTCTTGTATGTAAATCAGTCAATACAAGTGAAGTGTACATGAATTTGTAACAGAATAAAACAGTGAAGTTATCTGTAGAGAATTGCCATAACCTTTACACATTATGTTCTGAGTTGTATCTTTATGTACTTTTATTATTGAATGTTGTGCTACAGCTGATGGGTTTTAATATCTTTGGCTACATTTATTTCCATTAATTTATGATTTTCTAATGGTATGGAGTTGATAGTTGAGAATATGTTGAATAAGCAGCTGTGGACAGCTAAAAATAAATTATCCTCCAGCATGAGGGTTATGACATGTTACACCAGGTCTCATTCTTCAACAGATAATTTAGAATACCTAAGCAACTGACAATAGTACTGAAGTATATATCTTGAAGAAATGGAGTGGAAGGGTGTTGTTGGTTTCATCTGGCTCAGAATAGGGATCATAGCAGACTTTTGTGAACATAGTAATGAACTTTTAGTATGTAAGGTGAACAATTTTTTAACTAGTTGAGCAGCTGTGTTCTTTCTAAGAAGTACTGTGAATTATTTATTGTCAAGTCTGTTCTTTAAACTGATTATGTAAGAGCAAGTTCAGAATGTTTGGATGAGAAACAGGTGATATTAAGAGACAAATTCTGTTTGATGAATGGTACACCAATTCCTCATTTATGTTTGTTTTAAAGTAAACATTAGTGAAACAGTGACAGTGTCATTAGTATATATTGCTGTTTACCAGAGATATGTTATGTACTGTTGTGGCATCACATAATGATTATCAGTTTTGCAACATAAAACTGATTTACCAACTGCACCATAGATGTTGGAATATATGAAAAAATGTAAAACACTGGGAAAAAAGGACAACAAAGAACTCTTTGAGCATATGTATATTCCTTCAGATTTTTTGGAAACACAAACAGGTTCCTGAGATGGCAGTCAGGAGGGCAGGAGATTGGTGTAAGTTGGCCACCATCCTGCGAGGATGTGAGTCAAGGAGCAGAGCTTCATCCACTGTTGGAAGACGTTACCAAGCAGTGCAGTGAAGACCGTGACTGAGAACACTATTCTGTGTATGATAGTGATTTGTAAAGTGTAATTATGAGTTACATGTTAAAGTGTGCAATAAATTCAATTACCAATCCAAACGCTGTATGTAGTCACACATCACATGACAGTATCTTCTTGGAGGAGGGACATCATAGGGTTGTCCATGATGGCCTGACTCCAAAAAGAAATTCATTACTTTATTATTGTGGTATGTATTAAGATTGTAACTTGCTTTGATATTTCAGATTGGACTGAAAGTTGGTGTCCGACAAAGAGGATGTAATGGTCTGAGTTACACATTGGAATATGCAATAGAAAAAGGGAAATTAGATGAGGAGGTGGTTCAAGATGGTATGATACAGTTTGTAAAGACATTCGAAGATATAATTTAACCTCTCAATTAAAAAGTACCATGCTTATGGTTACAACAGTTATCCACATTTTTATAACAGATGTTTGCCGATTTGTATAGCATCTTCCTCCCTTCATCCTCTATACCCTGCTTTCAGTCCAAGTTAGTTAGTTGTTAGTCCCCTCACCTACATCAGTGCTGTCCATTCTTTTTGCTTTCCGTCCTCCTGCATCAGTTATAATCTAGTCCATCTCTCCGCCTGGGTCAGTACTGTCCTTCTTTTCAGCTTTTGATCACTCTTCAAGCCTTGCCTTGAGACCCTGATAATGCCTCTACTCATACTAGAGCTGTCCTACTTTTTCTGCATTGTCTTTCGTACATACTGTACCTACTGCTGTTGTTGCTCTCTGTGCCTACCTACATCTCCCATTGATTGTTCATGCTTTATTTTCCCATCTCCCTCTTGGGATGAATAATGGTATGTATAAGGACGTCTATTCATTCGCTCTTCTTGTTGCTTTTCTTAGTTTCTTCAGGGTTCCTACCCTGGCCTATGCCCATAACACCCTTTTGTATGTCTGATCTGCACTACTTGCTTGACTTGCTGTTTGTCCATGAAGATGTTCTTCCAGAAATCAGTAAACTTCTACCAGACTACACAGCATCGTGCTTCAGAAGATAGTGTTCTTCATAGCTACTGCTGTGAGAATCTGAAATCTTAGGGCGGCCGCACACCAGCTGTGTCAAGACATGAATCAAGACATGAGACAAAAGACGCAGTCTTGCTTCATTTGTGATTCGTAAGCATCATGACTCAGGCCGGTGTGCGGCAGTTTTCATAATCACATTTGTTTTATCTGTGCTTTCTTTTCATCATGTCGCAGACGTGTCTTGACTGTTACATGTCTTGACTCGTGCTGGTGCGTGGTCTACCGTACATGAACAGTAATTATATTATGGGATACGAATGTGTGGAATTAGAAATGGAGTAATTTTCTACATAGTCCTCACAAGTTAAAATACTTTCATATTGGTGTTGAAACTTTATGACCAGTGCTGGAACATCTTAAGTAACTGCTCTGTGTTTTTAGGAGCCATTTTGACTGATCATAGTGATAGAACTGTTCATTGAGACATTGTACACTTACTGCTTGGAGGTTATTTGAGAGCCTGCCATGAATTATTTGGCTGGTCCAACAGAAGAGAGATAAGCTCCTCCCTCACAAGTCTTTGAATTCGCAGCACAGGTAACAAACCTGTAGTCTGTGCCATAGCTGAAGTGGTTAGTCGCTGGCTTCCCACTGTGGCGGCCCGGGTTCAATCCCGGGTCTGGTCAAGTGGGATATGTTGTGGACAAAGTGGCGCTGGGGCAGGTTTTCTCCGAGTACTTCGGTTTCCCCTGCCAATCTTCATTCCACCAATTCTCCACAATCACCCTCACATATCATCTGGGGCTGGTACAATAGGCCAGAAGTGGCTGCATTGCAAGGGACTAAGTCCCACCCCACTAGCAAATAAAAAAAAACAAGCCTATAGGCCAACAAACCAAAAAACAAAAGTTTGTCTAGATCACACCAGCTGCTTGAAATGGCCACTGTTTATGCAAACATTCCTCGCTCATGTTCCTGTTTGGAAAAAGAAGAAACCTGAAGCATTAACCCCTGGCACACTGCACAAAATGTGTAAGGTATTTTTATTTTTTGATGAGAATGTGCATGCCCAGCACTGATTTCATCCAGTTTATCTTCAGTGAACACACTTAAGATTTCATTCAGTTCTTTGGTTAAACAGAGACCCTGCCTATCTGAATTTATTTACAGATGTATGAATAGTTTTTGTATTGTTTTGTTTTGTATTTTTTATTTTTTTGTTTTTTTTGTATGAACTGTAATATTGTGAAATTGATGCCTGAATTCTCTCCTTGCTGTTTGCATAGGTATATTACATTAACATTTCTTTAAATATGGTAATTGTCATTCCATTTGGACACAAGAAGCAACATGACTGTTGCTGGGGCTTTGGCATACAGCCAACAGGCATGTAATGCATAAGCTCTCTTCATGGTAGCAGTTTTAAGTATTTACTAGGGCAATAGTGAAGAGAAGTTCAGCCATTCCATAGAAATCTAACACACCTGAAAGTAAACTTTTCACCTCACAACCTCCGATTGTGGTTTAATTTAGTATACGTATTAGTTCTGTAGCCAAACATTTTGTGTATTATACCTTTCAGTTTCACATTTTCAGTAATTGCCATTGGGAATGTGAAACTCTACTGTAATTCTTCAAGGCTCCGTTTGTATTCATTCCAACCCAGTTCCATGAGATTCCCCCAGCATTTTATGGAACCCGAAGGTTCATTACCATGTCCACAAGAGCCCTCCTGTGGTCCCTATCCTGAGCCAGATCAATCAAATCCATACCATCCCAGCCTGTCTCTAAGATCCATTTTAATATTGTTCACCCACCTATGCCTTGGTCTTTCCAGTGGTCTCTTTCCTTTTGGCTTTCCCACCAATATCCTATATGCATTCCTCTTGTCCCTCATTCGTGCTACATGCCCTGCCCACCTCATTCTCCTTGACTTGCTGTAAGATTCTATTGAATTTCCGCCATAGACACCTTTGATTGTTTTCCAGAAATTGTCACACTGTAAGGGGGTGTGGCAGAGTGCATTGTCATGGTGCAGGATCCAGCTGACTGCAGAACACCAATGTGTCTAAGCCTGTTGCGAGGTGCTCCCCAGTAAGCAAATATTCCACTTCTGTGCATTCCACCCTTTGTTTTACCAGGAAGCACAGTTATCTCTGTACAGCTAAATTTCGGTAATTTTCTTAATCCATCCTCATACTATGCTGTTGTATGATAGATGCAGCATGCATTTAATCTGTCTCCCACTGCACTGCATGTGAAATGGTTATATTTATGAAGTGTTTTAAATTAAATTTGGAACCCCTTTCTGCTCTGAGGTTTGTGGCAGTGTGAAGTTCTTGACACTGTCAAATTTTGAAATGATAATTGGCCTCCTGATGAAGATTAGCTTTGTGTAATGGATCCCTAAACTATACCACCACCAGGTAGTGGTCAGTATCACAATTTGCTGCCCTGAGTGATTGGACATCACATATACTTGATTGTCGTCTCCTATCTATCAAAATATGGTCTATTTGACTGTGTATCTTCCCATCAGGGGATATCCAAGTAAATTTATGAATGTTATGATGTGGGAACATTGTACTTTTGACAGTAAGATTTTTTGATGTGACAAAGTTTACTACTCTAACTCCATTATCATTACTAATTTCATGCAAACTCTCCTTCTCAGTTGTTGGTTTGAAAATGTCTTCCCTCCCTGCTTTGGCATTGAAATCTCCTAACAAAATTTTCGTAGGGTACTTCGGGAATTTATCAAATACATGTTCTAGTTCTTCATAGAATCTATCCTTTATGTCATCAATTTTATCTTCTGTTGGGGCGTGAACATCATAACAATGATATCACACCAGCGACCTTTTAATATTATATATGATATCCTATCACTAACGAACTCTACCCTCTTAACTGCAGATACGATTCTCTTATGTATGAAAAAACCTGTACCTAATTCATGATTTTCATTCACCTTTCCATAGACAAATGTATATTCTCCTGCATGTGCAATGCCACCTCCATCCCATCTGACCTCCTGCACTCCTGCTAAATCTAACTTATATTTTAAGATTTCTTCTGCCACTGCCCTGAGCGAACCTGCCCTATACACACTTCGAACATTCCAAGTGCCAAATCTCGTATCTATTTTCTTTAGCTTAGGTCATTTATCCAAGGAATCTGGCCAGGTCTGAGGCTTTCTGTTCATTTTTGCAACAAAGTAATTTTTTTATGGTGAGGAGTTGTTAGCCCCACGCCCAACCCCCAAGCTGGAGGGCCACCCCTCTACTGGACTTTTTACTTACTTACTCATGGAGCTGATCCCTTCTTGAGGAGCCCCCAATTCTGCAGCTACTCAAGAATTTCCCAAAATTATATGGAACCTGAACGTTCATTACCAAGTACACAAGAGCCCTCCACTGGCCCCTATCCTGAGCCAGATCAATCCAATCCAACCCATGCCATGATATCTCTTTAAGATCCATTTTAATATTGTCAACCCACCTATACCTTGGTCTTCCCAGTGGGCTCTTTCCTTCTGGCTTTCCCACTAATATCCTATATGCATTCCTCTTCTCCCCCATTCATGCTACATGCCCTGCCCACCTCATTCTCCTTGACTTGATCATTCTAATTATACTTGGAGAAGAGTATAAGTTATGATTCTACTCATTATGGAATTTTCTCCAACTTCCTGTCACTCCATCTCTCTTCAGTCCAAATATTCGTTTTATAATTTTCATTTTGATGATGCAGTGTGTCCAGTGAGAATCTGTACAGCAGCAAACACTTTGACATATATTTCAAGAAGGCATTTCAGTTCCATAATATAGGGGTAAAATATTGTGATGGCCATTTGTTCCGTTCCTTACATAGCATTTTACTGCTAGATTTGTTGTAGATCAAAGGCTTCTATACATGTAAATAAGTTGCATCTCTGTCTGGACCCACTGAAGTATTTAAATAAACTGTTAAACAGATTTCACTCTTTTCAGCATTACAATCTACAGTGTATCACATAACAGATTCTTCTGCTTTCATTACAGGAGTTCGGGTTATCATTGACAAGAAGGCCCAACTGACACTTCTTGGCACTGAGATGGATTATGTGGAAACAAAACTGTCATCAGAATTTGTTTTTAATAACCCAAATATTAAAGGAACTTGTGGTTGTGGTGAAAGCTTTTCAGTTTGACAATACGTTGTATATTTTAGTATATTTATAAATTATTTAAGTTTTTCATTTCTCATTGTTGGATAAGTTTTCACTTTATTGTTAGTACAACAAGACACTCTAAAAAGTGACTTGTAAAATTTCAGTGAATGATAACAAATACAGATTTTTTTTTTTTACTAATGGTGTTAAAAGACCTGTCATGTTCATAATAAATTAAGTTTAGAATGTTGGTCATAATATGTGAAAAGTGATATTTCATAGTTGACTACTATTTTTCTTGTTGCCAAAGAGTGTGGAAATTTCAGTTTTAATTGTGTGTTCAAATTGTAGAAAGGATTGTGCACATTAAAATTGAAGTATCTGAGAATATACTATTTAATATTTGTAAAAAGTTTCAGCTAATGTGTATGACAGTAGGAACCCATTTATCCAACTTGACTTTTCTTTAATCACAAGCTTTTATAAACAATGAACTTTAAGATTTTATGAGTATTGTAACGTGTTTCTTTACTGAAGACGCCGTTCAGATTTATTTAACAACCTACAAGTATCGGCTACAATTAACTATAACGCTGTTGCGGGGTTTCACAATTTACAACCCCTATTCAATATTCAGTTCACTCTATTGTCAGTAGTCTACACGTTTTTATAACGCGGGAGTTATACAAGTGCAACTGTATCACACATTCCCAATTATTACTCGGTTATCACGAACTATCACTGATTCTCACACACGCATCCGTAACTCATAACTCGCCGCTGGCTAGATTCCAACTCAACTGTCTTCGTAGGCAGTGTAGCTCTCTTATATAGTCGCAGTGCCCTCCTGTTACACAATGGGTACCGCTGTTGCCTGTTACCCGTGTCACAGCTGCGTTGCATGTTACGTCACCGTGCGGAGAGGGGAGGGGTGTTGACTCGCCTATTACTGTAGTAACAACAGCGCTACGATGCCGCCACATACCGCTGGGGAGGGAGGGGTCCTCCGTTGCGCAACATGTCACAGTATGTATTACTTTCCATTTATAAACAAATTATTCTTGCATTTCTTTGTGATGTTTCTTTTTAATTTAAATACCCCAAGTTTTGGGACATTTAATGCTGCTGTCCCTGAAGTATTATGCAAAGCAAACACATGGTTTTGATCTTTAACTCCCTTGTGTATGACAGCTTCATTCATCTTGTGGATTATTAAAAAAAGTCTGTCAGTGTTTGTGAGAATAATATCACACCAGATGTTATGCCTTTCAAGTGAACAAGATTAGTAAGTGCGTGCGTGAATAATGCACGTGTACTGAGTGCTTCTTAGGAAAAGATCTCCATTTTCAAAATTTTGTTGTGAGGTTTAAGTCTTCTGTGGAAGTTTGAATTATATTATCACCAGTCAAGAAGTGGATGGTCACAGCAGTACTGTGTAATTTATTTAGTAGTTTACTGATTCCTGCATTTCCATAAATTGGACCATCAGTTAGAGTATGGTTTACTTTGCTCCATGCTTGCAGTACAGTGTTTAAGGTTCACTTTGCTCCATGCTTGCAATACAGTTTTGAAGGTTCACTTTGCTCCATGTTTGCAATACAGTTTTGAAGGTTTACTTTGCTCCATGCTTGCAATACAGTTCACTTTGCTCTGTGCTTGCAATACAGTTCTGAAGGTTCACTTTGCTCCATGCTTGCAGTACAGTGTTGAAGGTTCACTTTGTTCCATGCTTGCAATACAGTTTTGAAGGTTCACTTTGCTTCATGCTTGCAATACAGTTTTGAAGGTAAACTACAGTTTTTAATCTGTGTCAGTGTTGTCATACTCAGGGTCATTATTTTTACTATTGTGTAATTTTATGCTACTTGTAGGATCCTTCTCATCAACAATTATACTATCTCTAGTTGGCATACTATCATCAGGTACTTGAAATATTTGACAGTACCTCAGCATAAACTTCTGGAAAAGTTTCTTCAGTTGAACATGCACTGTGTGTCTTCATGCAGCCATGCTCACAAGTAGCTAAAGAATGCCTGTAATCAGATGCATTCATGTTGGATCAGCCAGATCTATAAGAGTTTGCTTTCTAATCTGCAAGCCTTATTAAGGAAACCATTGCCACCGAGCATTTAATTATAATTAATTTGTTTGGAGCATAGAATTCTCAAGGACTGCAGACTAAATTATACTGTATTAGAGTATAGCTTCATAACTTGTACTCTTCTCCAAGTATAATTAGAATGATCAAGTCAAGGAGGATGAGGTGGGCAGGTCATGTAGCACAAATGGGAGAGAAGAATGCGTATAGGATATTGGTGGGAAAACCAGAAGGAAAGAGACCACAGGGAAGACCAAGGCGTAGGTGGGTGGACAATATTAGAATGGATCTTAGAGAGATAGGATGGGATGGTATGGATTGGATAAATCTGGCTCAGGATAGGGACCAGTGGAGAGCTCTTGTGAACACGGTGATGAACCTTCGGGTTCAATAAAATGCTGGGAAATTCTTGAGTAGCTGCAGAATTGGCAGCTCCTCAAGAAGGGCTCAGCTCCATGAGTAAGTAAGTAAGTATAGTATTCATTCATCAGTAATATGTCAGACGACAGGTCCACAGTCTCTTCCAAAACAATCCTCCGCTTAATGCGATCTAGAGCTTTCTCCTTCAAATGAGAATATCCTCTTCTGTCCCCAAGGTCATCCAGCATCTTCTTACGTCTTCTTCCTCGTCTTCTGGTCACTTCTATCCGCCCCTCTATCTTTCCTTCAATAATTTCTTTTAGGAGGCAGTTACTGCATAAGATATGACCAATCCAATTATCCTTCTGTGTTCTTATTTGTATTATAGTATAACTATTTATAAATATTTGTTAGCTGATTTTCCTTCATTAGGTTGAGGTTGACCTTGTTGGGCGTCACACTAAAGTGTTGAGTACACAGGGCTTAATATGTGAGTAAAAAGAAGGGGGTTATCTCTGACTAACACATTGTGTTCAGACAGGATGTCTGAGTGGTCAACATGAGCCATACTAGTGTGTTAATATTGCTACTCACAGATGTTAACCAATTCAAACTCTTGTCAGTTTTCTGATCCTCTCTACATCATATATGTCTTTTTTATGTTATACATAAATTTCTAAGCTACACTATAATAATGTGGAACCAAAACGTGGCTATACTACATAAAATAATTACATTGAAAGGAAGATAATTAGTATTCCTGTAGTTCTATGCAGTTTTAATTTTTTATTGGTTAATGGGCTTATATAGGATCTAACAAAAATAATGCTGAAATTTCAAGCACTGCAGTTCAGGAACAAAAACAGATATACTAAAAGAATATGATTTGAGGCAGTCTACACAACAATAAGTTCAATAAGTTATTGTTGTGTAGACTACCTCAAATCATACATTTTTAGTGAATTATATTTAACAGGATGCATACCATAAAGATTAAAAACATATGTGATGATCATGTTACTTGCAGTGTAATTGAAAACTCAAATAGTTTGACTTAACTTATGTATGCTGGACAACAGCCTTGATTATGTGTTCTGCATAATCATTGTTTACCATGCAGTAGAAAGTACAGACTATGTTGTGTGCAAAATTTCATTCCATTATTTGAGTTCAGTGTGAATTTAGACATGAATATGGAGGGAGGCCACATGATGACAAAGGCATTCTTTGCAGCAATGTGAAGGACCAGGTGTACAGCTAAAGTATTAATACAATGCATGAACTCAAAGCACTGTCACTGCAACAGTCACAGATGTTACAATATGTCTGGCAAGAGGTGGACTGTAGATGGGATGTATATAGAACTACAGATCATTGTGCAGTGTTTCTCACATAACAATTTTTTCACTTGTGTGTAAAAAGAACTGTTTCAATTGATGAATAAAATATTGCAATTTTGTTAACCCTGACAACTGAGACAGACAGCTCTGAAATGTTGGACCCCAGCTCTAAATTGACAGGGCTGATCACGTAAAAAGACTTCACTACATAAAATGTATTGTTTTACACACATACAGAGTGACACTGTCTTTGCGCACAAGCTTCCTATAATGTGATTCCTTGTTAAAAAATGTACAATATGTGTCTTATGACATTTAGTCTTCAAGACACATGTCACTATCAAAGGACACAGGCTATCAGATGATCAAATCATGGGCACCTTGTAGTTATATTAGGTGTGTGAAGTTGCCTCCATCCATTTCAAGGCAGATGGCAGTGCACTGCATGCATTATCTAGAATAAGCCTCATTGACCATTGTCACAGATACTCGAAGTCCTACCTCAAGGTCTTAGATAGTCCTGGGAGGGACTGCATAATGTGACCCTTCAGGTGTTCCTGCAGGAAAAGAAACGTTGGATTTCCATCCATTACATATGCTGGCAACTAGTGGGCCAATTGTACCAGCCTCAGATGATAGATGAGTTGGAGCAATCAGTGGAGTGAGGGTTGGCAGGGGAGCTTAAGTACTTGGGAAAAACCTGTCTTAGTGTTTCATTGTTACCCAGAAATCCAGCATCCTGACCTGGAATCAAACCGGTGGCTAACCGTCTGAGGCATGGCATGACCAAGGACCAATTAAGCATGATACTTTCCCCACTTATGTGATTGACTATGATTGCCTATGGCAAGGATCCAGTCTTTGGGAGATTGTATATATATTAAATGTGCCTCAGACAATGGACAATAGCCAACACACCAAACCACGAACAGGAACAACTTAAGAACTAGCAGCCTAACATAAAGAGGTATAGCACACACTCCGAAGAGAGAAATTCAATTACAACAGCACATAAAGAAATCAAGGAGAAACATATACAGGGGGTTTCACGACTTTAGGGCATAACTGCAGGAAGCGATTTCCTAGGTCTTTGTGATCAAAAAAGTTCATATAAACATGTGTCCGATTTTGGACGGTTACGGAGTTATGACCGTTTTTTCATTCCTGTACACGCCCTCGTGTGAACCGCGTCTGTCATCTGGCAGGTCGCTATTTTTAGCCAGCTACAGACAGAGCGTTCTCGTTATCTTGACACATGAGAGCTACCTAAGGCGAGGTGGGTTGGTATTTCCGGCGCGGTTCACAACCGAGCGGCAGCCTGTGTTGCGGCCGGCGGTGGCATTTTCGAAAATCAGCTTTAAGCACCAATAAATTCAGATTAAAGGTAATCTCACGAAGTTAACTTTACATTCATACTTTAAATGTATCATGTATTATGCTGGTTTATTATTTTGTTCCGTTTATTGTCAGTAATCGTTACCTTCTATTCTGAGTGTAAAACTGTCATAACTCTGTAACCGTCCAAAATCGGCCACACGTTTATATGAACTTTTTTTTTATCACAAAGACCTAGGAAATCACCTCCTGCAGTTATGCCCTAAAGTCGTGAAACACCCTGTATAATAAAACTAGTAATAACGCGTAATGTGAGCATTGCTCATAACATATAAAACATAACAAAGAATCCTAGAAGATACCATCATCCACCATACACAAAAAATACAGAAATTAACATCATATTGACAGGACAAAAAATATATAAAATTTTAGCCAAAATTACAAGAATCATAATGATTTTAACAATTAATATGGATCCATATTAGGATAATTCAATAATGAGTGACATATTTAAGAATACTGTCTGATGATCCAAATATGGATTGATACATGTAGCAGTCGTTATATAAAACCAGTATAACACAGTGATATATATATATATATATATTTTTTTTTTAATTCGCTTAGTGGGGGGTGGAGTCCAACTGGGTCCGCTCGGCACGGCGGCTATTGATTGGCCTATTGTAGCCTGCCCCTGGTGATTATGATGATGGAGAATTTGGTGGAATGAAGATTGGCAGGGGAAACCGAAGTACTCGGAGAAAACCAGCCCCAGCGCCACTTTGTCCACCACAAATCCCATTTGACAAGATCCGGGATCGAACCCGGGCCGCCGCGGTGGGAAGCCAGCGACTAACCGCTTGAGCTATGGCGAGGCCCACACAGTGATATTAGATTGGTTTAATTTTTGATATATTTTGTGTTTTTACGGCAAAAAAAAAACACATCATGGCGCAACTGGATACAAACAATAAAGACAGACAATATTCAATATATTAGCCTGCAAGTGAGTGCCACGATACGAATATTCGCTGCCGTGGAAACCACGATTCTGAGATCTCATATTTATAGAAAGGAGCAATTTTGGTTAGGATTAAATGCCGCCTTGGAACTTGGTATGTATCATATCCAAGTTAATTTAGTCTTCAGCGAAGGGAAGGCGAGGCAATTATCTAAGACCAGCTGACATCTACTGCACAAGATGTAAACATCGACATCATTCTGGGGAGACTTTTACCGTTTCGCTTGATATATTGATGCTCAGTATGTCCATATATAAACAACAGAGACTTTACTGTTGACAGTTACTGCCGACATCTTATCTCGCTTTTCTTGTTGAACTAATATGAATACTAGAATCCTATTTTTGCCTTGTCATGGCACTGCTGGTAGAAGCGAGACGTTACTTCTGACATTCTAATATCACAGCATTTAAAAATATGGACACAGCAGTATTTAAAATGCTTGAAATAAATTTGATAAAATCCGAAAATATGGTGATCGTGGATCCTATTGTCGATAAGGAGGTCCAAGGAAGAAGAAAACAAAACACAATAGTCCTGGAAGTGAACAAATATACAAGGTCATGGGTCCCAACGGGGCCCCTATAGAAGTATATAGAAAAAAAATTGTTGAAAAGCTTCCAGATTAGCAGGTTTCTGTTTTCTAGCAAATGACATGCTTCTATGCCCTTTGCAGCTGTATTACAGTTCAACACATAAGGCTCCGTTTTTAACTTGTTAGCAGTACCAACTTTTTGCACCAGGAATCGGCCTATCATACATTTAATCTCCAGTACTCTTCCTGGTACTTACGGACGATATATTATTATAATTAATTGACAACAAAAAGCGGCCTTTACAAACTGACTTTAGTTCAGCTCGCGGATCTGCCATGTTCTGATAATTTCATTTACAGACTTACTGTTGTAAATATCCTTTAGTCTTCCATAAGAATAAATGACATTTCATGAATACAAACATTGCAAGGTTACATAAGAATCACATGTCTATTTAGGCTAAGACGGAAATGAGAGTTAATAAATTATTACCAAGACAATATCTGTTCCGGTATTCTTGATTTCGAATTGTCAATTCTAGATTAGTCAGTAGGGATTAAGGCAGTTACGGTTAGTGTGGCTAAATTAGGATTATGACAGATTAAAATATTAAATTCTAACACTACTAGTAAATGTGGTTAAGTAACCAAATCATTTTCACGCATCAGGTTATAATGATTCATTAGTTTCGTCATCACAATAAAATGTCAGTTCGCGTAATGTTATTTTTCATATTCCTGAAACGAAAACCTTAATGAAAAAATGGCGTAATTTATAAAGCTTATGGATTATTCGTTGAATGACGCTTGGATTGCTTCCACATCAGAAGTTCACACATCAGTGATGTAAAATTGAAATCGGTAGTTGAACAGACAAAAAGTCATACCCAGATCACTAATGGAGTTTCGATGACAAACGCTACTGAGATCTGTAACTTATGTTGATGGTTTAAACTTAGCGTATGCTAACTACGCTTCATTAATTGCGTAGGTTATATTGCATTTCACTACAGAATGAATACGAATGATGAACGTAGATATGTATTTGGAGGAAACGCCGCTGAAGAACTTCAACATGTCCTCCCAGTATGTGCAGAGAGGAACTGTGGAATGCTAAGAAAACTGGGCTGAGGCTCGATCCAGAGACCTTTAGAATGAGCAACGGTGATAACTGTGATGTTCATTACACGAATACTGCTAGATAAGTCATATTTCTAAATAGCCTACCTCAACATACTAAAAATTACTTGCAGAATCGTGTATATAGACCCGAATTTATTTTATGTCAGTTTAGAGTCAGAAATGATGTTCCACGCACATTGGCCATTTTAAGTCTCAAAATGCCTTGAAATGGAGCCTATAATTCCACCCTTAACCCCTCTGAATGGACTGCCCTGCTCTTATATTTTCTGTTCCATGCGCGAAGGGATGGGAAATTATCGAGCGATGCGCTCAAGTGGTATACACTGACACCTAATGACAAGAATCACGCCTTTATCTTTTCACAGTGACACGCATCGAACACAAAATGTGAAAGACATGCCAGGTAAGGGAATTATGTTTGTGTACTATTGTGAATTATCATAAATTTTGGAATACCACTGGGTACAAAATCAGTATATTTAATCAGATATTCTGGGAACAACTTTAGAAACAAAGTCATGCAAATTATGAGCTAACGTTTCAATGTTCGCAGACGTATTGTTTCGAGCCTGAGCGCGTAGAAGAGCATGCAAAACCTATCTTTATTATTCATTATAGTACTCGAATGTAACTGTGCGTAATAAAGTAGAGAAACAGATACTCCACATATCCTGCGCTAGTATAAATTATATTCTATATTTTATAATAATGGAACTCCTAAAAGATTATTGAAACTATCATGCAGAAGGTCATACCATTTATATACTTTCCTGTTATATACTAAATCAGTGCTTGCTTTTGTCCTAGGACGTACCTCGTGGCCTATCGATTTACTTAAACATGAGATAATTTACTCAGTCTTAGAGGAAAGAGCGCAATTGGGAATTTCCTGTAAAACTGATGCACACGGAATACGTACTACACTGTCTATGTTATGACATGCCGGATGATGGATGCAAATCAAACACAACCAAGTATAGTTTCAACTAACATACAAGAGCCAAAATCCCACGAAATCGAACAACAATTTTGTTTCGTATTCGTTATGCCTGGAAGCTAATGCAATACTAATGTCAATACTATCAGTGCTAGCGTGGGGATAAATTGAGTTGGTACCTGAATGTTCCCCCTAAATGTCAGTGCAAAATAATGACATCTATGAATATACGAGTATGAATGGCGTGAAAGGAGACTAAGGGACAGGAGAATTGGAGTTGGGATGCAGACACTGAATCGTGTTTTTATCTTGTGGTCGGTTTTGAACGAATCTACATTCGAGTCTTGGTCAGATAGACTGGAGTTTGTATTCAGGTTTCTTAGTTTATTTAACGATACTTTCTGAACTACTTAAATTATAATAGCATTAAAACGAATAGCAATTCCACGATTTCTGGTAGAAAAGATGTTACTGGGACATAGTCTTTTGTGAGCATTTCAGTTTGACGGTGCCAATCACCATTCTTCCATATTTTAATATTTATTTGAGAATTTTATCACCAGGGATTGGTACAGTAGGGCTCATTTGAAGAAAAAGCACCAAGAGATTCAGTCTCACTAAACTCCCGATAACATTAGTCGACAAGGGTACAGTGACATGAAATAAAATTATTTTTAAAGTGAATCTGATATGGGGTGTTTGAGAGCAGGGCGTTGAAGAGAATATTTGGACCGAAAAGAGACGAAATGACAGGAAGTTGGAGAAAACTGCATAATGAGGAGCTTCATAACTTGTACTCTTCTCTAAGTATAATTAGAATGGTGAAGTAAAGGAGGATGAGATGTGAAAAGCATGTAGCACGAATGGGGAGAAGATGAATGCATATAGGATATTGCTGAGAAAGCCAGAAGGAAGGAAACCACTTGGAAGTCCAAGATGAAGGTGGTGGAAAATACTCAAATGGATTTTGGAGAGATAGGCTGGGATGGTATGGATTGGATTGATCTGACTCAGGTTAAGGACCAGTGGAGGTCTCTTGTGAACACGGTAATGAACCTTCGGGTTCCATAAAATGCTGGGAAGTTCTTGAGTAGTTACACAATTGGCGGCTTCTCAAGAAGGGCTCAGCTCCATGAGTGATTGAGTGAACCTGATAACCTGATTACAAATCTGGACACAACTATTTTACACTATGATTCTGGTCTGGACATTGATTGTAGAGCCAGAGCATCGTATTTTTTTTTTCGCTTTTGTGGTATTTCTTGCTGTTCTTATCATTTTTTTTTTGTCAAAAGTGACGTGGGAATATGACGATTCGTCGATGGTTGAATGCATTCTTGGCTAAATAAAGTCATTACTTCAAACTGTGTAATGTCTTGCATACTAATATAAATAATGAAAAACATAAACGCCGTCAGCGTCACGACATTTTGACTATCACTTTTGTGATCAGCATACACAATTCAGTGAAGAGTAGCGTATTTCTTACATGTCAGAAGGGTTGAGGCTTTATTGTGCTTTGTAACTGGAAGAATAATATGTAACCGTGAATATAAATTGGATAGGATGTGGGAAGAAGCGTTGGCTTCATAAAAGGCATTCGAAGCATTTGTTTCATCCAACGGAGGAAACCCTCTGAAGAAACCATGCAGGATAACTGTTCACTGTACTAGAATCGATCCTAGGACCTGAGAAACAGGCATTGACCACAATATCGCGAAGTTCAGCGGATTTATACTGAACAAAACAGGACAATGAATGTCTTTTTCTTCTGTTGCTAATTTTGCCATTCGCTTATTACTTATATTCTTCTCGTAGCTGTCATAAGCTACAACTTTTACCGCTTCTTTTTGTGAAGGTTTCCAGACAATATGTCTACGGACATTTGGTCCACTTTTCTTTGTCTGCACTGAAACGGCTGACAGGTTTTCATCGCAGCTTCAAGTATATATTCTGTTCCAAATTCTTCAGGTTGCGCCATGCCAAAGAAAGCACACCGAAGTTCTCCTGGACATCATTTCAGGAAGTACCGAACAACGAAAAATTGTCTTTATATTGCCGATTAGCACTACCATCGATTTGAATTGCGACCCAAAATAACCCTAGATAAAATATGCCTAACAGTATTCATTTTTAATTCACCGATTGCTTGCAACCCATTACACATAATGTGAAATTGAGCTTTCCACATTACGAATTTGTACACAAAGTCGAGAAAGTTAATCAACATATATTCTGAGACGCTTACTTTTGAAGATATTGTACATTTCATCGTCAAATGGGACAATATACTTCTGTCACCTGTCACGATGATACATAGCGCATTTTTTTTTGTATTGCTAGTGGGGTTGGACTAAGTGTCTTGCACTGCGTCCACTTCTGGCCTATTGTACCAGCCCCAGATGATAGGTGAGGGTGATTGTGGAGCAATTGGTGGAATGAAGATTGACCAGGGAAACCGAAGTACTCGGAGAAAACCTGCTCCAGCGCCACTTTCTCCACCAGACCCGGGATCGAAACCGGGCGGCCGCGGTGGGAAGCCAGAGACTAATCACTTGAGCTATGGCGCGGCCCATAGTGCATTGTTAGGTGTACTCAAGACATACAGAGCACACAAAAAGAATCAGTTGACGTCGAATGATCATGGACTACGCAAAAGGCGAATACTGCGACATGCTTTTAACCTTCGTTACCATTAATAGTCAAGCTGGTATACTTCACATGACTACGCGCTAAGTTATCTTCATCGAGCCATTCGGGCACTGATGTATTTCAACAATTGGAGCAGGGTATCCGTGATACAGGAACCGTAACACTATTTGGCCCATGGGCTGTACGGATGACGGCAACTAAAATTTGTCATGGCTGCAAATGTGGAACGAGAACAATAGAGAAGCTCAAGCGATATCGGACGAGAACTGGCCCTATCCCCCCCCCCCCAAGGTCATGACCGTCAATAGTATCCATATCGCTATTTTCGGAATGGAGGTCTGTTTCCAGACACTCATCCACTGTGGATACAAATTTGCGAATGGATACATTAAAATATTGCGGATTTAACTTTTTCACACAGAAATCATATGTCCCTGGTACCCACTGCATGATGAAACACCAACACTTGTTTTGGGCCATTTTGTTTGGAGAATAGTTATATATGGCCTTCACAAAACATTGCACAAGGAAGGTGAGGGCATAGGTGCCAGTAGGTACCAACAGAAAAAAAAACACACAGCATCACATCCAAGAATACAGTAGTCTGACAGTGCTGATTGCTGTGAAAGCCTTGAATCATATTTCTTATGGCTTTCCTTAGTGCTTTAGCTGGGAAGGTACCTTAAGATATGTAATTGTTTCCCTCCACAGTGTTTCTAATTCATATATCAGAATAATCTTATAAGATATTGTTTGCATGAAAGGACTAAAGAAAACAAACACCTCTGCCTTTCCTGGCATTCAAACAAGGCATCCTCTAAATTAAAGGAAGCATTATCATGGAGTTTCACCTGCTATTTATCTCACCGCCATTAGTGAGCTGATTGTCTAGAAAATATGGGAGCCCTGATGTCTCATAACCCTATGGGCCTCCAGAGCATGCTACTTGGATAGCTTTACCCTTTTTTTTCTTTTCACACGCTATTTAAGAGTTACTTGCTGGAAAGATTGTCTCATTATAGCCTAATTTCCAATTTTTACAGACTTAATATCGCAAATAAATGGGTTACAGTGTATTTAGTGATGTGTGCTGATTCTCTGTATTATAGGTGATATAACTATGTTGGTGCGGTAACAATATCTTAATCCAGAATGGATTACATACGTGAGTTTGATATCCGACTGGATCGGGAAATGTATTATGCTGGTGAAACTCTTGCTGGTCATGTGGTTCTAGACACAGTTGAAAATTTCAAACTTCGTGGTAAGTGTTCTTTGTTATGATTACTTTCTATGTGAATCACTTTGCTTATGGTAAGCTTTGAACTTACTTTTATTTTCTACTTATAATTTAGCTTATATTTGGTAATCACTAAGTAGACTGTTTTAGCTTAAGTGTAGTGGTTAGGTCAGTAGTGAAGTTTGTGTATTAACCATGTTAACTGAGCAAATACTTGAGTAGTAATATAAAAATTGTTACATTCGTAGTTCAGTGGTATTCCATATAGAGGTAGGAGATTCAATCAAATAATGTATCATCTGCCACCTCCAACCAGCCCATTATAGAAATTGTTTTAGGCTTATGATAGCTGCTTATCAGTGCAGACACAATTAGTATAGGCTTAAAAGAAGAGGAAGTGCATGACAGTCCAAGCTATCATGTTAGCCGAACGGGGAATGTTAACACACTGCAGTTGCTTCATTCTCACAAAGCACAGAGCATTGCATGGTTAACACTTCTGAGAAAGTCTGGCACACAGGCACCCTTGATTTCCACTATCTCAGCTATCTGAAATTGATATTACCTATCGCATAGGTTTCCGTCAACACAACTTTTTGTACAGGCATACTGCATGTTAAATGTTTAGTGTTTAATATTTATTAATGACATAATCTAATTTCAAAAAAATACAGGAAAGTCAGCAATACTGAGATTTAGGGATGTTCTCAGGGTTTGTTGCAATATTGGGAATACTTCTCTCCTTAACACAAAATAAATTCAGTAATAAATAATTATTTTGAGAACGTCTATGCCAAATGAACTCTTTGAAACATCTTTCCTAAATTAGGTGACTGAATCATAATTCTGGGTATGTGATTTCATACTTGTGGCTACAGGTTTAGAAAACCGAGTTATTATATTTTATTTATTTTCCTTTACATACTACTGAAGTGAGACACAACAATTTTTAAATACTTTTATCCAGTTTTCTCTGTCTTTGACTAATCTGATCTCTAGGGAAATACAACCAATTTTATGGTGCAAAAGCATAGCTTGATTACTGTTCAGTGTCCCTTCATAAGTGATCTAGGTCCACAGCTAATTTGTTGCTTTGTGTCCTTTTAATGCATAAAACAATGGCTATGAGACACTACATTGGTAAATAATAGATCATTGGTCAGTGTGAATATGTACTCATAAAATTGTCATAATAAATAAACATTTTTATCATTCAATACATATTTTTAAGAAAGTCCTGGTCAAGAAATTGACATTATTGTTTGTTTTTTTTTTTTTTGGTCACCAGAAATATGTTTTCATAAGATTGTTATTATAGACAATCAATTTAATTATTTTAACACTCAGAATTACTGGGTTTTTGGACTTTGTCCATTGTCTGTTATTCTAAAAAACTAGAGGACACAACGTTTCAGAAATGGGATCTGTTTCCATCATCAGGTGAGGGGGTGGGAGATACTTATTTTGTTGGGTCCCTTAGAAAGAGTTAACCTCAGTCACCAGACAACAACTGATATGTATTGTCCAGTAAATGAGTTTAGTGGTTTCACTAGTTTAAAAATAAATATAAGTTATGTCTATGTTTTTACAGCACTTTGTTAAACTCAGTGTCATTATAAAGTTATGCTTGTCTGCATCTATTGTGCAATGAAATATCTTAATATCTTAGATATACATGTTTGTCATAATTTTCTCAGTATTTTCTTTAATTTTTATTTGAAGGTCCTAACTCTGTAATTGACTCCTGTAACTGTTGACTTAACACATAAAAACAAAAACTAAATGGAAGTGAATTCCTGTTGTTCTTGCTTCTGATGCTGTTGTTTTTGTTCTTCTGGCTGTTGTTGTTGTTGTGGTTGTTGTTATTGTCCCTGTTGTTGTTGCTGCTGCTGCTCCTGTCATTTCTTCAGATATAGCCAGTTTGTCATATTTCAGTAACCACACCTTGTCACATCACATAGTCACAAGATTGTGACTAAACAGAGCTTTAAATTTATGTTCCCCTTTTTCCTCCATTGCATGGTGTTAAGCACAGAGACTGAGCATGCCTAATGACATGGAATTGCAAAATATTTGTGGAGCTTGGAGATGAACTTTCATCATGATTAGAAAAGAATAATTTGGGGATTTATGGTACTGCAAATAATGAAGCAAAATGTCATTTGTTTCAGCGGTTCGAGTTGTCTTGCGAGGGAAGGCACATGCAGAGTGGAAGGTAGTTGTTAGTGGAGACAGACGGACAGTTAAAGATGATCAGTACTTCATTGATGACAGAGCCATTATCTGGGGAAAAGGTTCATATGCTTTGCATTAATTACAATAGAATGAAATTCAAGTTATCACATTTGACAAGACTGCTGTGAATTTTGCCACAATGTAAAGTTATGGATCTAATATTGGATAGGCTAAAGAAAAACTGGACGTACTTAAGTGCTTATTTTATTATATATGTTTTCTCTTTTGACAAATGTTTATTCATATTTCATAAAAATTATTATAATAAAGATAGTTTGCTATTTTAATTCTTTCTTCAGTAAAAGTATCCTTGCTAAACTTTTACTCATCAAGGTCAATCATATGCTCATGGTATTACAAGTTCCTTTGTACACACTTATATAATTCCTTACAATGTGTCCTTTATAAACATTTTAAGGTCCTTTTTAAATAGGACCTTCTTCAGAGGAGTGAGTAACTGCTCAACAGATGCAATAGTGCTTGCTGGAATGGCTAATGAGAAGGCAGATAATTTTTTGACTTCTGATAATGCCATACTCAGATTTGAAACTATGAAATATTTGAGCAGGCCTGAAATATTATTTTGTAAAATTTTTTTGAGACATAAATAATGGAAAGTTCAGTTTACATAAGAAGAGAATCAAAATATCACTTGTATGATATTTCAATAATAAATCATGAGCAGGCACCAGACATGTTTCAGAGTAATATTTAAATTTCCCGAAGTCTGTGATACAAATTTTAGTCTAAGAATTCTGAAGAACTGATTGGTCAGCTGTCCTGTCATAGTGTTATTTCACAGCACAGCCAGTAATAAGATGTTTTTTTATCTTTATTAATCAGTGTGGTTCATTGTATCTTAGCTGGCAGTGTTGAGTGATCTTTATCTCCTTTAGAGCAGCTGTGACTTACTGACCAAACCTTGTCTGCTAAAAAGTTCTGAATTATTCCACTTTTTGGAACAGTAACTGACGTCATTAATGTTGGTTTGAATAATTTTGGAAAGGTTCTTGTGTTCATCATGTACTCCTGAAAATACTTTCAAATAAAAACTGAAGTCAAATTTTGAAGAATATCACGACATTTTCAAGCAGAAATATGTGTTTAGCTCTCTCACTCTTTCTTTGTATTGAAAACTGATTTGAAGAAACAAATAAGTGCTGTTTTGAGCTGTGAGACCAATTCAGCAGATCTTTCTGTGTAAATGTATATGGTGGGGGAGACTGAAGACCAGCATCCAGTGACAAATTTGTCAAACACAGGTACTTTTTGATGTTTTATAAAAGAATGTGGTGAAATCATTCAATGTTTCGAAGGAGGTTTTACACCCTGAAATACATTCAACCAATTGTCTTAGCACTAAATTTAACTGGTGACCATAACAGTGTATAAATAAGGCTGTTTCTTATTTGTCATGAATTAATTTTTACAGTTCATTATGCTTGTGCCATAACCACTGCACCATCATGTATCTGAGCTACTAAGTTCTTCCTTACTAAATTAATTTATTATTAATTCGCACAGTGAGGGGGTGGAGTCCAACTGGGCCCACTCGGCATGGTGGCCACTGATTGGCCTACTGTAGCCTGCCCCAGGTGATAATGATGACGGAGAATTTGGTGGAATGAAGATTGGCAGGGGAAACCGAAGAACTCGGAGAAAACCCACCCCAGCGCCACTTTTTCCACCACAAATCCCATGTGACCAGACCCGAGATCAAACCCGGGCCGTCGTGGTGGAAGCCAGCGTCTAACCGCTTGAGCTATGGCGCAGCCAAATTAATTTATTATGTTAAAACATGTTCAGGCAGCAATCACCGCTAATATCTGAATATCTGATAAATTGTTCTTGTACATTGCCCTAATGAGTCACATAGCAAAAATCATCCCGGTACACCTACAATCTCATCTTCAATTACAAATAAAAAGGAAACATGTTTCACATCTTCTGTATCTTGTTCATCATCACAGTTGAATTGATCATTCTTAATATCATGAGAATTTCCCATAAAGTGTTGAAGTTTCCAAGTGAACACAAAATTTTTGATATACTGGGCCCTGTAATCAAGCTACTCTAATTAATTTTCTCTATTATCAGATTCTATGTTTTCCAGATGTCCTCTAAAAGGAAGTTTTCCTGAGCCAGGTAGTAAATAGCACCTGCCAAGATTTCAACAATACACCTGTTAACTCTGACTCTTTCATTATGCTTTTCATATTGTGTTTTATGTGAAAAATTGAATGAACCTTCAATTTGATTGATACAAAACTTTACTAAAGCTATATTTGAAGTCACGTGATTCTTTACATTTCATATCTCTTTCTTCAAAACATAGAAGGAAGTATTGTAATGAGTATCATTTGTTGTCGGAATATTTATTCCAGGTGAGAAAAAGGAGATATGACCATCAGTACAATGATGATGATTACTCTTATCACACAGCCAAGATCAGATTTGTACCAAGAATGAGAAAAAGGGCTTAACCTCTTGTTTGATTTCTTTAACATATTTGGGAGGAAAAACATTGATCAATCTATTTTGATTGTCTTCTTATAAGCAAATCCCTACATTAGAATGACTTTTAATAAGTTCTCTACAACACAGGAAACTTCATCTCTCATGATGCACTCACAACATAGTACACTCTTACAATAAGATTTGTAATTAAAATTGCTAAAGCATGCAAGCAACTGAAGTTTGTTACCATATCACGTTTAGCTAACATGCATCTTGGGAATATTATGCACACCCTCCTCCCCTCAAGCCTATAGTGTATCATGTCTATTCTAATTGTATCTGTGCTCACAATCATCTAGCATAAGCCAAAAGTGTTTGGCTAACATCAACTGTGATGAGTTTGTATTTAATTGCTTCTCATGCCTGTATTGCAGTAAACTCAGCTATGAAAGTAACAGATTTTATTTTATTTTATTTTATTTCTCTAGGTGTTAACTGAGATGACATGGTTAATATGGACTCCCTACAATGGAGATAGCTTTATTTATTTGCCTTAAAAATTTCTATGTATATGATCAAACCATCAATTATTATCTTTTGAATATATCAGTTCTCTTTGTGCTTGTAAAGAGTTAAGCTCTTAAATATCAGCAGTTTTCAGTAACAGAGTAACACGAAAATTATGACTATAGTATTATGAAATCAAGTTTACATGTCCAAATTAGATATATGACTACTGAAATTTCACTATGTTATTAAAATTTCAACTGTAGATGAATTAAGCTGATTAATTCTCAGAAATTTGTTAACCAATTAATGATGTAGAAAGAATAAGACAATGAAAACTGAGTTACTGGCTTCCACTGATACACAGTGTATGTTGACGAAATGTAATAAAAATTTAGTCCATAGATGTGCACAGGAACATAGCAATGATTACAGTGTCCTCTTGTTACAACTGTTTAGTTTCACTAGTTATCACATGGCTCAAATTCACTTTCGCATTCTTATATATTTATGTATTTGTAGCTTGTTCAGATGTGAATGAAAGGGTGAAAATAATCATACTGAAATACGTAGCGCAATTCATAATTTTCTCGATAGCCTTAGCAGATTCTCATAAAATCTTTGTTTCTATGTTGAACATCAAAGTGTAGGGCTTCTATACATTCATGAAGTCCCTAGTTCAACTACTGGCCATGTATGACCATGTATGTTAGTATGGTACTTTAAAACCTCCCATATATTTTCCAACTTACTGTTTGTAAACATCTTCTCTGTGCCCTTCAACATTTTATAACATCTATAGTCAACATGGCTCTGATAAAGAAACAATAATATGAACAATCATCCATCAATTTACAAGGAATTTGAAATCCTACATTAATGTTAGTTATCTGCTTGCCCAGACTAGTTCTGTCATAATCTTCATAATTTTTATATCTAGATTTGATTTTGATAACTCATATTTTTCCAGTCTGCTTTTACCGGTTCTCACGGTCCCTTTGCTTGCAGATTTCTTATATATTTTTTTTCTTCTACCTGAAGATGGAGGCGATACGTTCCTCCGAAACGTCGGTTAACACCACATATACACGGTGCCAAATCCCAGAAGACTGCTTTCTTCAACTCATAATGTTATAAACAGCAGCGAAGTTGATAATTATTATAAATAACTAATCTAGAAATTAAAATAAATTACCAGTTTTTAATTTAAATCCTTGTTTTCTAACTTTCTTCCAGACAAACCAGAAGGCAATGTACCAATTCTACCTCGTGGTCTCCACCAATTCCCATTTCAATTTCAACTACCAGAGAGTTCACTCCCATGCTCATTTGAGAGTAAACCAGGTTTCATACGGTATTATATTAAGGTACGTTATGTTATTGGCTAACTCACTCAATCACTAAATCCATGGTACAGTGTAGGTTACATTAATATATTACATCAGTCCCCATTCATTCCTACAGTTTTCGTTCTTTAAATTTCTGAGTATCAATGAGGAGAAACTTTAAACTGAAGAATGTTGAATGGGGGTTCCATTATCTGTACAGAAGGTTGATCATATTCTACAAGATTAGACATAAGAAGGAAAAAGAAAAGGGGGCACCATTAGATTTATCTCCACCTGTACAGGGTACAAATAGTGGAGAATAATTAATTGCAAATAGGATTAAAATATAATTTATTTGTCAGTGACCCATGTGTAAGTATGCTGTATTACCAGCATTTCAGGGATGATAATGGACCCTGCTGATGAATATGGTAGAGGTCCAAAAGTTGGAGGAAATATACTTTGTGACTTGACTAAAATATTGCCATGTGTTAGGTGATTAGACATAGGGTTTGGATTGATAAATTGATTTATTGGACTCTTACAAATCATAACTGTGAGTAATTATAACCATTTCACTAATTCACACATTCTACTGTTTGCTCTATCACACGGTAAGTCTTCTACATCTTCTCTATACATTGCTAAACTATGGCTTCCAACGATGGGAACCCCTCCACATCCCACGCCTCTGCCAGGGGTGACTGCCTCACAACAACCTCAGACTCAGACTGTCTACTTCAGAACTAACCCACTGTCAGTTTCAGTTCCCAATATATAGCCTTAGGGCAGGCCTCACAGATAGCACCACTTTCAGCATTTCTTCTATTGTTGGATGTTCATATGTACTGCCAATGAGATGTGTTTAAAAAGCCATTGCCTAGCAATGGCCTTCTGTTTAGGTTTCTGGATCCTAGAAGTGGATGTCTTTTCTTCTTCCACGATTCTGGCTTTGAGCCATCATGACACAATATATATCTACGTATAAGGTAATAAAACAAAGAATTAATCAGAAATAGAAAAATGATTTGTGACTCATATATTCTGTGCATGCAGGTGACAGTGGATATTCCATACGCTTCCCCACCACAGGGCATGAAGTACTTCACCATAATAGGACCTCACATTGACTGTATGGATGAGCACTATCTGGTAAGATTATTTATTATTATCAAAAACATTCTCAGATTATTTTATGTATTCACAATGGAAAAATGTACACTATACGTGACAGGGTTGATCACTTCACTAGTTAGTCATCCTTTGGGACAGTTGTTCCCAAACTAGGTGGCGTGCAGTGAAGTGGTACAGGAAACATCGAAAGCAGTGCATAAGATTTATAGGAATGCTCCAAACTGAACTACCAGCAGAAGAAATTACCTATAAAAGCAATTACAACACAAATTTAATTAAAACATTTTGTGGAGCAGTAATTATGCATCAGATGCCTTAAGAATAGGTACTCTTAGAATTTAATTTCTGCATGTGTCATTTTTTTTAATGATACTGTTCCCATTACACTCTTTTGGATAGTGGTGTGATTGTTGGTGGCAGTAATTAATGGGTATAAAAAATGCAAAATTGTCGAAATGGATATTGATATATTGGGTGCAAACAGTTCTACATTAGATGATACTCCTACACAAAAATGAAATAAAATAAAGTAAGAACTTGGGAGTGGGAAAATTTTCCCCACTGAGTTGTTTGCAGTGAACTTCTCACAAACAACGTTTTCAGAACAAGAAATTTTCATAGACACCTAACAACGAAATATGGACCTCTTGCAAAAATACCATTAAAGTATGTAAAAACGTAAAGGTATCCCTGTAACAGTCCGTGGAAGCCCATAGGGTTGTGTGATGTTGAGGTTCACACATTTTCTAGACAATAGGCTCATAGATGGCGGTAAGGTTGTCAGCCTTACTCAACAGCCGCCCTTCACAAAGTAGATAACTTTCAGTCCAGTATGACATACAGGTTTTACAACACTTCAGTCTTTATTCACCTTACATGTTTTGATTCAAAAGAATCATATTCAGAGGCACACCACTACGAGCAGGAAACACTGTCACATAAGATGTTTTAACATTATGCACTTAGGTTATGAATAGTGCTCACTATATCATAGTTTGCCTTATGCAGCCACGTTGACGTGTAGATTTACGTGTGATGTTTCGTTTAAGCATATTTACTGGGTATTCGATTGGGGTTTCCCACTGCACGCAATGTGATGTTCACTTTTCCATAAAATAGCTCCCCTATGTATTTAAAATTGTATTAAAAATCTTTTGCATGTAAAAAATTAGTTATTATGTTAAAAATCGTGAACCAGCATTGGGTCATGTTGTTTTTCTTCCGGATGGCAGAAGATGTCGATTATTTCTCTTGGTTGTATGTTCTTATTGCTAGTTGTGTAGTTTACACAACTAACAATAAGAATGGTTATGAAATCCATTTGCAATCACTATTAATGATAAAGTAAATCACATTTCTATAAAAGCCAAGGTATCTCTGATAGAACTTCCCTGTAATACAACTCTGAAGATCAAGTTTGAAACATTGCTTCTTCCTTAATTTTTAATTTATAAAAAAATAACATTTGGAACTAACTCTATTTCTCCCCTCACATGAGGATGGAAACAGATCCAGTTTACAAAAGGATTTTTTCTAAATTTTTAGAATACCATACAATGGACAAAGTCTGAAAACCTAGAAATTAGAAGTCATATATTGAATTTTTCATGTGTGTGTGTTTGTGTGTGCTTTGAAGTATAAGTTACAAAATCTTCTTTGCAGAAACCAATGGTAGGACAGGACAAACGAACTACATGCTGTCTCTGTTGTGAGAAGGGCCCTGTTGCACTTCGAACACAGCTTGAACGATCAGCTTATGTATGTGGTGAGTCCATAAAACTTCGAGCCAGCATAGACAACCAGGGTGAAGAAGAGGTTAGACTTAAAGTGAAATTAATTCAGGTCAGTTTAATAGATAAAAGTATCGATGAAAAATATTAAAGAATTTAGTCAAGTGTGAACATATAACAACCTTACATGAAGAACAAAGGACTTCTCTTCAGTGCAGTGTTTTTACTGTAAGCACACAACCCCAAACTTCCCAAATTAGAGCCAGAAGGTTGACACTCTTTCTTCAATACACAAGAGAAAAATAACTTTTCAGTAAATTTGGGAAACTTTGAAAGCAATAGTAACAATGGTGTGACTTTAAGACATTTGCCAGTCACATATTCAGGCTCAGTCATGCAGACTATATGAAGATTTAGCAGAAATATTTACAGTCACCTTTATCACAAAACACTGGCATTTTATCTCACACCATATGGATCTGTTTCTTTTCGTAGTGGAACTTTCCATTCTGCTCCAGGGAATTATGTAAAATGACAGATATTACACCATCAGTAAGACTATTTTAACATCGCAAGGTGTTTATCAGAATGTAGGTAAACTTTTAACAACATTACATCGCTTAAAGCTATACTCTATCACATAAAATAAAAAATAAATTCTGTCTGAACACTTAAATATATTTTCACTCCGATATGTGAATCGAAATTTTGTAATTCTAGCCATTAATAATCCATAACTTGTATTCTGTATATACAGATCTATAATGATTTACACTTTAGAGATAGGCCGCACCATAGCTCAAGCAGATAATCGCTGGCTTCCCATCGCAGCGGCCCGGGTTTGATCCCAGGTCTGGTCAAGTGGGATTTGTGGTGGACAAAGTGGCCCTGGGGCAGGTTTTCTCTGAGTACTTCGGTTTCCCCTGCCAATCTTCATTCCATAAATTGCTCCACGATCACTCTCATCTATCATCTGTGGGCTGGTACAACAGGCCAGAAGTGGCCACAGTACAAGGGACTTAGTCCCACCCCACTAGCAATAAAAAAATACACTTTAGAGTGAGGCCATACCAAGATCTTCCTTAAATAAAAGAAGAGTATATGATTTAGTAACTACCGAAATTTTTGTTATCATCACCACTATTATGACCATTGCTATGATTGAATAAATAGTATGTACGTAGTTTATATTTGCACAGGATTACATGTTGTGATATTATACTTCACTTTAAACTAAGTGTGGAAATTAATGGCATAATGTTCACCAGTATCAATTGATATGATTTGTTCTGTGCAATGCAGTATGTGGAATACTTCATTGATAGAGGAGTACTTGGTGTCAACAAGGAAATTCAGCACCTGGTTCTAGAGTACAAGGGAGAGGCAGTCAGACCAAATACCCGTTCTAAGTGGGATTCTGCACAGAGCTTGGTTGTACCTGTCATGCCTCCATCTCTAGTTGGAGTGTGTAGGCTTCTACAGATATATTATGTACTCAAGGTGAGTCATAGCATAAATGTTGAATATGGAAGTAGAAAATTAATCTAATCCACTGTTGGTCTAGGAGTTAATGCTCATCTACACTAAGTAAAAATGGAGATAAATTAGGTACTAATACTATAATGAAAATAATGGTTCAGATAGCTCTTAGTATCACAGATTATGTGATAAGAAATGTTGTCCCTTGTCATCTGTGCCAGAACAGACGGCATGTTTATAACAGAAATTGTATCAACTCTGATTATTTAATTTATGTTTAGAAGATTATTACAAATAGAAGAACCTTCCAAAACTCTATATAAACACTTTGTAATTGTTGAGGCATCTTGATAGCTGTGACATAATAAAAAAAGTGACATCTCAACATACATAGCTGCTCATGTTATATTAACACAATATTCAAGGTGTGAACCAATTAAGAAATATAGGATCCTGTTTTAATTAATATGGAGCATAACAATAGAGCAAAATGTATCATGATGTGACATAACTTAGATTTTAAAGTTTCTTTAAAATAATGATGATAATAGTCAAAGGGAATACATGTGTGGTAATGAAGAAAATAATTTTTTTATTTGAAAACTGAACCAATTAGAACATATACCTCAAGTACCAATTTCATATTTATCTGAAATTTTGGCAGTTTAAAGTGAACAGTGAACCATCTTCTATCTTACAGAATAAATAAAAGCAAGACACCATAAAAGTTTTTCCTGCTCTAAAGCCAAGCGATAGATCAAGTGGTTAGATGCTGGCTTTAATCCTGGATAAATTCATATAATACTTGTAGTGGATCAGATGTCACTGGAACAAGTTCTTCACTGAATTCTTTAATTTTCCCCTCCCAATCATTATTCCAACACTGCTCCATACACATTTATCACTGACTCTTGAAGAATGCAACAACTCTAGCCAGGCAGCATTTTATCACATCCTCTTTAGGTTGGGGTTTCTTCTCTATTCCACCACTAGGCTCAATACAGAATCAGGACGTTAAGTTTATATCAGAGGAATCATATTTAATTATACTAATTTACAGTTTTGAATTTTAGGTTAATCTGGAATTTGAAAAGTCTGGTGATGACCTCCAAATGCACTTTCCAATTACAATAGCAACAGTTCCATTCAGAATCCCAAACTCCAGTCAACAGCCAAACATTCACTATGGTAAGTTCAGAAACAAGAATTTAAGTTTCATAATGCGAAATGCTATGAGTTCAAACAGGTAGGGAAATTCTCATGCTGTGGTTACTGTTGCTCCATTACTTCATCAGTGGCTGAAGGAAAGAATATTTAAACTACTATTACATTTCAAAATACAAGAATGATGTTTTAATACACACTGAACACACTAAAATTTGTCACAGTGATTCCTATGCATTTAAAATCCTGCCTCCTGTTAAGTCTTATTTCATCAGTTAACTTCTCTTATATAAAATAATATTTTCAGTGATTCAAATTATTCACAAATATCACTAATAATATTAAGGAAGGTTTTCACCCATTATCTTTCGAAGAAAATATTAGTTCATGAATATGGCTTTAAATAAATGTAGTAATGTATCAGAAATGTAATGTGTATATAATGAGCCAATTCTCCTGTGTATCTTAATCTTATATAAACGGGATACATGTGATACTGCCAATAATAAGGGGGGTGGGATTTTTAAAATCCCAGATGCCTTTGGCTGGATGGATTTCAATTCAATTAACTTCACTTCAATTAAATTCAATTCAATTAAGTCTCAGTACTGCCCTTTTCTGAGCATATGGAACTCAGCTGTCTTGTTCTTGTGTCTAATGTGTACTGAATGTGGGAAGAGCTCTTTTGAATAATTAGTGTTTTTGACTTAAAAGTTAAATGAAATCTATGACAATTTACAAGGTTGAACTAAATAAAACTAAAAAAAATGAAGTCTCATTTGGATTCACACTAGGTATCTACAAAATATCCATATTATTGTCATGCCACTCCACTGAATTGATTGTCAGTTTAAAACTCAAATAAGAATGAGTAGCAACCTTAATATGACAGTCTTCTGGATGTAACACCATGCAGTTTTGTAGATAGATATCAACATTTCAGAGGAAGCAGTTGAGACAGGGTATTGCATGGTGCCACACTCCAAAAACCGTTAATATATAGAACCTCACATCTCATGTGCAGCAGAAAGTTGGAAAAATTTATTATTCTTTTTTGATTACTAATGTTTTGGGAAATATGAACTTGTATTTTTTTAATTTAGTAAGGAATAATGTGTTATTCTTACAGAAGTGAGCTGTGAGCACGTTGAAGGTGGTCTATACATTGGTCCAGAATTCCTTCTTGGAGAAGTCTATGATGGCACCAACAGTCATGATTTACAGCGTGATACTGTTGTCCTATATCGCCCAGTCTACGTGTCAGTTGTCAAGCCCAGCAACCAGCATGTCTAGTGGACAGACATGATATCTGTAATTAAACTGAAGTTATATCACTTACTGGTTGGCATAAACATGAGTAAGTTTGACAAAGGGCAAAAATAAAACATACTAAGCAAATGTACTGAATTATGTGCCAATTATGGAATTATATTACATCAAAGTAACGGAATGCAATTAAGAGATTGGTTTTCAGTTCACATCTGAATTGAATGCTGAAAGATATATTCAGAAAATTTTGTTCATGCTTTTCAATTCCAAACACTCTAACTACAGAACTTGAAGTTGAGGATGACAGACTTCCACACTGTGCCATTATTTGTTCCTTCAGATTGATGTCATATACCATGACAGGACCAAACAAGATGCCATAGCTGTAATGCTGTAGACTTGTATACAGGAGATTTTTGGTCTGAATCTCAGCTGGTGCACTGGCTATTCTGAGTGGGAGTTTCATGATTTTCCTCAGTCCCTTCATACAAATATGCTGGATTAGGTCTTGACTACTTCCTTTCAAATCCTTTTCAGTTCATCATTCATGCATTGTGATACCATTCAACACTATATAACCTAGATACTGACTGTCACTAGGTAACCCACAAAAGGATGTGTACATGCCATGACAAATACTTCAAGGATTAAGATAGTTTTGATACAGTTTGTCACTTAAGTAGTAATGAATGTTTCAGTAATGGATTTTAATGATACAGAATTACTAGAAAGAAACATAAATAACTTGTGGGAAGATAAAATTTGTAATTCACTTTTCCTATGGTTGCGATGGATGGTTATTTTCAGCAATATACACAAAGAAAATCTTTATTTTACAGTGAATTCAGAGAAGTTTCAGTGTCAACATTCTGTTGAGAAATGCAGTTGTTTTCTATTTGTTAGTTCTAAAATTTTACAGAAAGCAGTCCTTTTACTGATTTGCTGTAGAATATATTATGCGTTAAAATTTATTTCTGTTAGTCAGTAGAAAGACAAGTCCCATTACCGAAATAATCTGGAAGCACCAAAAAATGTTTTAAGTTGATTATATTAAAGATTTTTGTGAAAGCAAATTTTGTATTTTTAACTATATGGCATGGCTACATAAACTGGAAATTCCAAATCCAATAATCCCCAATAGCTTTTAAATAAATCATAAATATTGAAACTACTGCTGTAATTTGTGTCAATAGATTGTACGTTTTTGGAAGAAGGGTTGCTGTTTTCAGTAAAATATTCGTATTGTGGAATGCCCATTGAAAGCCAAAACAATGTAATCACAAGAGATGTCTGTTACTGGGGTATGGCACAGTAAATACCATGTCAGCATAGAAATAATTATGCTTGTAATGTTAGGGGAATTGTGGGAAGAGGTATTTTACGTTGGGTCCACCCCATGGCTGTATCATGAACGCCAACAGGAAAAGCAAACGAGAGTGAAGAGTCTTGAGACAGCAGAGTTAGTCGAAAGTCAGTGGTTAACAGTCTGAGAAAGGAGATTCTGGGCCCTGGCTACAAGGCCAGTGGCATAGCAGTACAGTCTTGGGATGGTGGAGTTGGAGGTGGAGGAAGTTGGAGAAAACTGCATAATGAGGAGCTTCATAACTTGTACTCTTCTCCAAGTATAATTAGAATGATTAAGTTAAGGAGATATGAGGTGGGCAGAGCATGTAGCACGAAGGGGGGCAAAGAGGAATGCATATAGTATATTGGTGGGAAAGCCAGAAGGAAAGAGACCACTGGGAAGACCAAGGCGTAGGTAGGTGGACAATATTAAAATGGATCTTAAGAGAGATAGGATGGGATGGTATGGATTAGATTGATCTGGCTCAGGATAAGGACCAGTGGAGGGCTCTTGTGAACACGATAATGAAACTTTGGGTTCAATAAGATGCTGGGAAATTTTTGAGTAACTGCAGAATGGGCGTTCCTCAAGAAGGGCTCAGCTCCACAAGTAAGGAAGTAAGTAATAACAGTAACTTCACAATATGTATAGATAAATTCAGAGTTTGATTTGCAGTCAAGAACTGTGATATTGCTTATCCCCCTCCCCCGCCCCCAGAAACAACTATATGAAGATATGTAACACTTAATACGTGTACGAGTAATGTAGTTGGCAGCATTTTGGAAACACAGATTGATAGCTGAGTTTTAACAATAAGGAATTTTAAACCACTTAAGCATGGACAAATTCAAATCAAAGATATTTAAAAACTGAACAGAATGTTTGTAAATAATTATTTTCGTAATAAGTGGGCTATTTCAAATATATGTTAGTAACTACCAACTATAGATTACAAATCTTAAGAATGTTACACATTGTATGAATCTTTGTTTGTATGTTTTGATCCTGATGTGTATGTCACTAGTATGTAAATTTGTCCATCAATCACAACAATTCTACACTTCCAGCAAATAACTGATAGGCTTGAATCCCGATAAAATTAGTTAGTTTAAGATGTGCTGTCCTGTTTCTTGATAGTGCTTTTATGCATTCTGTGGTGGACTCCTTGGTTGTGTTCACATTTGTTGTTCTATATTAGTATGCTTTTACATACTGGACATATTAAAAAATATTCCGTGTTTTTAGTCCGCAAGCCGACTCTCTGTGGTCTAGTGGTCAGAGTTCCTGACTACAAATCCAGAGGTCTGGGTTCGATTCCCGGCCCTATCAGATTTTCTGAGTAGTAGTGGGTCTGGAACAAGGTCCACTCAGCCTCATGAGGATAACTGAGGAGCTATTTCAAGGAAATAGCGGCTCCAGTCTTGAAAACCTAAATTAACGGCCATGGGGATTCATCGCGTTGACCACGCAACACCCCCTAACCGCTAAAGTTGGCACTAACTTCGTCGACAAGTGGCGATCGCTCAGTCGGTATATATTGGACATAATATTCAATATTATGTCAAAAGATCAAAAATTCGAATTACCCCATTTTCACCCAAAGCAACAACATGCTACCATTAGTACCAACAGTGCACACTCATATAATACCCATGTCCTAATAAGGGACAAAGTTAAAAAAACACATCATATACAACAGTGTTTCTTTAACCGCTGGGCCGCAGTCCAGCACTGGGCCCTGGCATCAATTATATTGGGTCCTAGTCTTATAAAAAACGAATTTACTGAGCTGCCTTCTCACAAAGTTCGAGAACCACTGATATGCAATATGCACTCACCATTCTCCTTACTCCGTTCCACCCATAAAATCCCCTTCTATATATAATAGGATAATTTTTAGGAACTAACAGTGATTTTAAACAAGCCTTAATTTAGATAAGTATTTCAGTACATTTCGATATTGTAATCCTATGTAAAAACTGGTACATGAATGAATAATAGCAATGGATCCATTGCAACACGCAGTCCAGTGATGAATATAGTTTCATTTTACTGTTTATAAACACCTGATGATGGTTATAAATGGCTGAAAACATGTAGCAAAAAATAACATCTTAATAAACAAACAAATCGTATTGATATTCGAGCCCATCAGTTATTTATTAGAAGTGAAGAATTGTTGTGACCGATGGACAGATTTACATAGTATTGTATGAATGTTTACATCCACCAACATTTTTACTTCATTCTGACTTACAACAGATGCAATGATTCAGAATATATAATAGGCCTATAAGCAGAATGAAGTCTGAAATATGTAACATAAAAATTGCATATAATTCTTAATAGCAATACATCTATTATTCTTGGGTACACTGTAAATCTACCTCTCATTCAGATCCACTCCCTAAAAGAAAATACGAAGAAGATTCTCCCTCCAAGGACAAAATAGTAACTTGCTCCTGTGAAACAACTTTCTCCCCACTTTTAGACCACAGTGACTTGAGAAGGGCTGCATTTCTTTCCAGTCTCTCTCCTGTGACAATAATGTTATGGTACTTGAGATGGGTCATAACTTCTTATAATTCCACATCCTTCCCATAAGATGTTATTAAGATTAGGGGTTCTCATGGTGATAACTGTAGCCTCTAGAAGGGTAAATTTTCTCACTTTTTCTGTTCATTCATCCTGTTGCCCTGGGCTAGATTCTGTCTCATTTTCTCCCCCAGCAGATCTGGCTGACCTGCTTCCTTCCAGTCTGCCTATGTAACCTAACCACAATCTCATCCAACTCACTTTGGTCCTGAGAATGAAGGAACGATTCTCCTCCAAAATTCTGATATCTTCCTAAAAGGCAAAACCATAAGACAACAATGATGCAAGTGAAAACCTGAGATCTTGCATTGTATATATGTACAAAGCAGTTAGCATGCTGTTATGTTAAGCACCTCTCAACACACTTGAATCTAAGTGTGAACTAAATCTGAACATATTCAAAGGAATTAAATGATTTTCTTACAGAATATACTTAAGAGTGAATCCCAACAGTGATTACCTTGAACCCTTTCAGGTTCTTTGTCAGACTGAGTCTGATATTTTGTACACCATATTGTGATGCAAGTCACACTCAGTCCAACAATCCAGACACCCTTATGACTAAACTAAAATAAAAAAGTGAAGAAATTGTACCTGGTATTTTGTTACATGTTCAAATAAATGGGTTACTATCAGACCCACTCTGACAATTGGAAAGTCACACTTCAGTCCAACAGCATATTGAGTATGACAGTGAACTTCAAATAAAAATATCTGGGCCTGATGAATATTTTATATAAAAGTATATGGTTCTGGAAATGTAAAAAAAATATTACAGTCTGAATTTATTGAGCTTATATAGAATATGTTGAATATGAGTAGTCTCTGTGTTAATAAAGTTCCATGCCTTGAAGTACGAGTATAAGGGTCAGAGAAGGTGTAAATACATACTGTAGTTCATAGTGTACAGCCCTGATTTTGTTTCATTTAATGCAATTTTATATTTTAATTGTTATAATAGAACAATTTATGGATTAAATATGTTAGACCATGTAGCTTCTCTTTGCAGTGCTTGCTCCAAGAAGAAACCAGTAGTTGGTGGAAGCAAGTTTATTTTGAAGGTGTATGATAGGAAAGAAGCTACAATCACCATTCTGATTTTTTAAAAACATGTTTGCCATTACTATCATTCTTGGTTTAAGCCTCAAGGTTAAAATATATGTACAACTTCTGAGCCACAATAGTTCAGTATGTACAGTGATGAGCTACAGGCTAAACGGTCTGGATTTGATATCAAGCAGGGGCAAGAGATTGTTCTCTTCTTCAAAACATCCAGCCTCCTATGCAATGGGTACCAGGTGCTCTTTCCTTGTCAGTAAAGCAGCATGGGCACAAAGCTGACCACTCACCTCGATCTAGTGCCAAAGTCAAGAATAGTGGAGCAGTACCTCCACTCCCCCAAACATCTTCATGGCATCATGTTTAATTAATTAAGCACAGGGACAACTTTACCATTTTACCTTTTTTTTTTATTGCTAGTGGGGTGGGACTAAGTCCCTTGTACTGTGGCCACTTCTAGCTTATTGTACCATACCATTTTACCTGTTATATGTACCACTGCATATGAGCTGTAAAAGCATTGGTTGTAATTTTTCAGTGACTTGAATCATATGAGCACAGAAAATAAAAGTGTAAACATGTCTCTACTTTCACAGTTTGGGTTATATGTTATACATATTAGCACATGACAATATTACTTGCAGCTGTAATGAAACGGCTCAGAATGTGAGAGACAACACTACTCATGGTGCACACTACACTTCATTGTGTGACAGTGGTATCAGATTGAAAAGATAACATAAAAAGGTAAAGCTATCCCTGTAACAGGCTGTGGAGGCCCACAGGGTTGTCATCAGACATCAAGGCTCCCACATTTCCTAGACAGTTCAGTCATAGATGGCAGTGAAGTTGTCAGCCTTACACGCCGACCTCTTTATCCCGGAGAAAGATTCCTGGTACTCATTTCTGTAGAGGCTGAGTTGACCCCAAAGCCATAGTGCGGCTGGAAGGATTAGGTCAGCTGAAACATTCAATGACCAGTTTCTTCAAAATGTCTTTCTTTTCCTTTATTTGTATGGCATAGGCGAAGAATAGGTGAAGAAATCTAGATCATTCTGCTGAAGTCGAAATCAGCCTCCTTTCTCTTTTGGAAATGCTCCTGTCACATAAGGCATGCCCATGAAGACCACCAGGATTTTTTCCAAGAGGCAGCAGCCAGAAATCTTGAGGGTCTCCATATTGAAATGCAGATGGTGCCATTTTAAATATAACTTTAATTTTTCATATTAATATTCGGGATATTTCTTTCTTTTCACAAATCCTGGTGGGATGTAGTTGCAGATGCCTAACAATGTCTTCCCCTGCCAATGCCCATGGTCATATCACATGGCTAAAAATGCAAAGCCCAGATTCTGTCCTGAAGGTAAGGTGATAGTAAAGTTGTCCCTCTGTTTAATTAATTACGCACCATACCATGAAGATGCAGTGAAGAATGGAGATGTAGTTCCATGCATTCTTAACCTCAGGACTAGATGAATATTGGTGGTCACCTTCATGTTCTGGCGATTTAACCCAGGGGAGAGTCTCCAGTGGGTTCCAGGACCAATCTAGATGCTGTGGAAACGAGAAATCCCCTGTCCCTTCTAAGAAATGAACCCTAATTTCTCAGCCATCCACCATGTGGCCTGTTGCTATACCATCTCATATAAGCACTAGAACGAATGTCTGTGAACTATGACATAAACAGTTGAATATTTCATGTTTACACCAATTTATGATGAATAGTTTATTGAAACTAACTTTTCCATAATTTGTGATTCAGTATTAATGCTGTTAATTATGTCCCGTACATCTTACTGAGGTCAATTAAGTTAACTACCAGTTATCCTGGCTAATGAACCGGATAAGCTACACAGATAATGCAAGATAATTTATTTAGTATTACAGCACATCACAAATTACTTAATCCTTTTTAACAGGTTATTATACAACTGACGCTTATTTTGATAAACAATCCATAATGCTTTTCTGAATTGTTTAAATTTCTCACAACAGATCAAATTTTCCTGCACTGTAATATCCGTGTATTAAATTCACTGATCCATGTAGTCTACAATGTACAAAAGTATTTGAGATGAAGGTGAATGGCAGACTGGATACAACAGGGGCATACACCCAATGAAATACAAATTGCAGAATGCTTTTCAGCTTGACTATTCATAGAAGCCTAATAAGTAACATGGCATGATATTCTCATCTGTTAATAAATACGATGTGTAATTTATACTTTGTACATTCAAAAGTAAATACATTTTTAACATAACTGCCCAGTAAGGCTGTTAATACCACTTTTCAGAATGATTCACACTTTTTCCATTGACCATTTGTTATCTGCTTTGCTTGCTTGTGAATCTAGATGAGAAGGACTTAATCTCTAAATTTATTTTTCACTTTTTGTGCATTATGATCATTTCTCTTTAATTCTGTCCATATCAGCAACCATTATTTGGCATGAAGACTCAAGTGTTCATTGCTCATAGTGACATTTGTATTACATGCGTATGGCTGATTGACTATGGCATCCACTATTACCATTTCACTTTCAATTTTTTATCCACTTCTGCCCCAATCACTGCATTACTTGTTCAAGGAGGAAAAAAAGATGAAGCCTTAGTTCACCTTGTTTGCAACTGAAAAATTGTGTGATATTACACATATATATAGAACAAGTAAAGAAAAAAATCATTCATAGATAACACTATCTGGATAATATGTACCTGAATAATGAAGAGTGTATCTTATATGTGAGCTAAGCTATTACTTCTGCTCATCTGTTCTATATAATTCTGTGTACTTGGGATTCTTCTTGAGAATATTTTAAGAAATCATTTATTGCTTGAAGTTCAGTGTTTTCTGGGAGCGAAACAATGTATACAGTCACCTGACAATCACTGCCCTGAGAACCTCAAATCTCATATTGTCTGTTAAATGACTAGTAGTTTTTTGCTAGAATTACCAACATATAAACAGAATTTTAATTTGAGGAAACAACTTGTTTTTCTGAAATACAATTTCGCAATTAATTTAAATCTGGTACTTTTTGCAGTACTGTTTAAATATCTTTACAGTAGACAAAACATAATAAATAATACAGAACGCAATTTCTTTCTTTCAACCCTTTTAGTATTGTGGCATATTTGCTCAAAGCCAGCAGAGACAACCGTTGCTAGGGAACGGCTCTGGAAAAAAACGCTTGTTGTGAGGCAACAGCTTCATAACATGCAACAATTGAGTAACTGAGAAGCGGTGTTCTCGACACGATCCATGCTGGTAGCTACGTGATGCAACAATAGAACAACTGTTGGGAGAAGTGTTTCCTATGCAGTCCATGTTGAGATCATATATATATGTAGTCTGCAGGCAGTCAGTTGACAGTTGCAGAAGCTGGTAGTTGAGGCTAGGGACAGTTCAGGAAACCAGAGGATGGGGAGCGTCCACCATTGGAAACCGCTACAAAGCAGCTCAGTGAAGATGGTGGCTGAGAACACTAGTCCGTGTGTGATAGTGATTTGTAAAGTGTAGTCACGAGTTGTGTGTTGCAGAGCCCAATAAATCTCATTACCAATGCAAACCCCATCTATAGTCACTCTATTACATGATAGTCTTGTGATTACAATAATCTCACATTGCTGATAATCAAGTGAACTTTGTAGATGGAACTGTTCAACTAAATACAGAGTGCTGTTCACTAACTGATTTCAAGAAATTTTGTACTAGAAAGTGAAGTGCAAGAAATTGTTATGGATACAAATTCAGTTTTAAAATTTAACATGTATATTAATGACATATTGCACTAGTATCCAGACTCTGAGGAATTGGTGAATAATGGCAAAGACTCAGGTGATTGATGTTTTTTATCACTAATGGCAAAAGTGTTAAACAGGAAATTCAACTACAAAATTTGTATGATATTTAAATGTACTTCATCTCCAAATTTAATTTTCTAATTATTTAAATTTTTGGAACTAGAGTAAAAAATAAATACAGATTAGTAAAGCAGGCAAGGATGATGGACACTGTAAATTTATGAAGTTTTGAAGAGGATTTATACATAACAGCAGCAAGAACAATAATTATGAGGAGGTTGATGATGAGGATGATAGTAACAATAATAGTGAAACTGTAGTATATAAAATGAGAGAAGATATGCAAAGATAAAAAATAATCTGTAATATAGGGATTGAAATGTGTTACCTTCTTAATATTTTAATTCAGGCCACCATAAATTCTGTTCATATTTTCCTACATATTTCTTAATTAACAATTCATTCCCTTCAATTCTGCTACTTCATCTGTAAATACATGTTAATATGAAATACTGGCAACTTTTTCATAACTCTTTGAAACATTACGTTAATTTAAACAATATTTTAAAATTCAGCTCATACCTCCTAGAAAACACTACATATCCATTACAAATGTGGTGTGGATAAATGCAATTTGTTGGAAAAGACACAGGATTTGAATGTAATATCTGATAATACCATACACAGTGAAACCTCCATTTAAGGTTTTATGGGGGAGCAGGGTGTATGGACAGTAGTAAACTAAGAAAAACTTAAAAACACAAAATTTAACATTGAAGTTACAGACTTGAGGTCACTGAAATTGCAGTTCGCAAGTTTCTCATTTCAAAGTTGAACTGTTGAAGGGTGGCTGGAAAGATTTCTTTCTACTCATGATGTAACAAATAAGAATTAATGACAATAGAAGAGTTCACTTCAGATTGATTTATCTAATTCATATGATGGAAATGGTTAAGATTATATGCAGCATATGGACACATTATGAAGCAAGAAGAAAAGTCACAACAGAATATTAAAAAAAATAATATTCTTGGAGGACATCACACTTTTTCTAACAAATGTTAATTTTAACAAAATCACAATTTATACCACAACTCCTTTTTTATAACGTCTTTTATTTGAATTACTGATGATGTCTCCCATTTGTATTAAAGAAATTATCCCACTGTTTGACACTTTCTTTTACTGCATAGAATAAGATCAGAGAAACAGCGAATGAATCACTATAGAGGTGTGTTTCCATTCTAAAACAACCTTTTCCTTGTAGGAAATGATAAAGTGTTCAATATCTGGAGAAAGTGGGATAATTCCTGTGTATGAAACTAAATGTCGAAGGCAGCAATGCAGTTATTCTGCTTTCAGCGTCCATTGGAATTGTCAGGTATTTTCTCATTGCTGTTAACTTACAATATTAACTGATACTGTGATTTCTAAGACTTATTTCCTCTACTGTTGACACTTGTATTTTGGATTTCAAGAATTTTTCTTTACTAGATTATTAAAAACACAAGAAATCTCAGTCACAGTTGCTGCTCTCTGAGCCAGGGTTCAGACATATGACCTCTTGAATAACAAGGATGTTAATCAATACACTGTGATGATCAGTACCCATTATTTGGGGTACCACAATATGAAAATTACAGGCTTTCAAAAAGCACCTGCCTACTCTTGCTTCCTTTGCTGTCACCTATTTGACTTCTGATTACTGACAGATTTCATACCTCCCTGACTAGACATATGAGATATTGGCATGGCCATAATTATTTCTAAAGCTGAAGATATACATCACTTTATCAGAAACTGCAATTTAAATGTTCTTAGCTTCCATGAGAATGCTATTTGCATTATCAGTGAAAGTTAGATAACCAACTATTTGGCCTAATATATGAAAGCAACAAGATAAATATAAGCATGGACTTAACAGAGCAAATAAGTAAAAAGTTTCAGAGAAACTTAATATGTTGCTAGTGTATCATCCATTACAATACATCAGGACTACACATTTGTTGTCATACTATTGATGTTAAGTGTTTAAGTAAACAAAAATGTTCTGAAAATACTTGTGCACCCACTGCTACTAGGTTTCTCCACCAGTGGAAGTAACGGTGTCTACACCAAATTTATTAATGTCTGCATGTTACCATTAAGTGTAACAAATTTATTTTGTTTAAATGTCCCTGATAAAACTAGTTTATTTCAATAGAATATGTATAAATCAGCAACTTAGAAAAAAACGGAAAATGGTGTCTTAAATTTGCTAATCATTCTACATTCTATTTTAATTAAAAAACACAACATTCCCTGTATAAAACCTCCAATAAACGCTTATTTACACCTAAACTAGGTTTTTAATGAATTTTAAAATCAAGTACATTTTGTAATAAGGATAGAACAACTAAAGATGAGTGGTGTAATAGCTCTTTTAAAATGTCTGTAGGTATGATACCTGAGAGAAGTGTAGTTCCACAAGTTTTGTCCTTTCTTTTATGTAGCCAACATTTTCTTGGTACCAGAAGATAACAATAAAGACTTTGTCATTCTGTAAAATATATTTGTAAATGGTGTTGTATATACAAATGGTAACATTAAAAGATACACTAATTAAAATATAAGAATATAAATTCATGATTAATAAAATTATAGAAATGTTTTCCAAATTATTTTCTATATATGTCACTGAATATCCCTTTCATATTGAAATATTAGTGAATGCCTTCCCAGTATGTAAATGTCATCTGTATATTCTTATGCAATGTTTTCTTCCTCTCACAGTCTCCAATCTGCTTTGACAGAGCATCTAGTCCACTCACTCTCACTTGCTATTGCAGAAAAAAAAGGCACTTTTAATGAGACAATAACATATTGGAGGGTGATAATGACAATGAACTGTTTCTCTTCTTGGCCATCAGCTCCATGATTGTTCAGATTCTATACTAGTGAAGCATTCAGGTAGTCTGAGACAATATCAGTCAGATCATGTGTTTGGAGTTGTGTCAGAATAAAAATTCCAGCTCCAGTAATCCAGTTGATGAAAGTTTCAAGAACTGCGCCAAAATGTATAATGGAAACTTTACATTGGCAGGTCATACCTCAGAAAGTTATCAAGAAACGATGTTTCTGTTAAACTGTGGGCATTCACACTTTACCCAAGTCTTCTTGCAACTAATTTGTGATCATTTCAAAATTCTGTGTCAGAATTATTTCCCCACCCATCAAATCAGTTAGCCACTGTCCATCCCTTTGGCCATTTATGTCCCACAAGTTAGGATACTCCTTTTCAGTTCCTTCACATACTGACAAACTACTTTAAGTACTTCTGTCTTTCTTAATCCATAGTAACTTATTTCTGTGGCAATATAATCTATCAGCTTGATTCCTCATCTGTTGACTTCCCATACTGCACATTTACTACTGTAGAACTGCTCATTGCTACTTCCCTTGTGATCATCAAGATGTTTCTGGTTGTGCATGCAACATTAAAATGTTTCCCTGCTTTATGCACAGCTTCAATAGCCAAAGAAATACATGGTATGGATATTGGCGGCTGCTTGCATGGATCTTTACTTCTAGGCAAATGAAAATATGGACTTCTATTCCCTTTAACTTTGCATACATTTTGCTAATGAAACAAACAGAAAAGCTTTTTAATAGCTCTGGCCATCTGTTTATTAATTGCAAACAGTTAACAACAGAAAAGCTGCATTTACTATAAGAAGCTTAAATTACTCAATCTTGTTTCACATTCATACCTTGAGACATGGCACAAGGCTTGACGGAATGGCATATCAATTTCAGGACTGCCTTAATATTTGTTGTTATTAATAAATAACCTTGTCAACAGTACATTAAAATCCTTTTAACTACAAAGGAAGTTGAAAACACTTCAATTTTTAATAACTTCTCTTTGCTTTCCAGCCAAAAATTCTGAATTCTTGAAGAGATGCTCACAAATAGTTCTATTACAATGCATTAATGCCACCTGCCACTGTTTGGTATGCTGGAAATCCTACAAAACTGTAATATCAGTCTAAGAATTGTGGAACAAAAATTGTATTAAGTGTTGCACAGATTCAAAGCTTTCTGTCATCTTGTGTACAAGTATCATCTAATGAGCGGCCCAAAGCACAATGCCTAATATGGCCACATGACTTGTTTTAAAAACTGGATTTACACATTCCGACTTCACATCTGTTTAAAAGTGTCCAGAGGTGCAGTGGATGCTGTTCTATTCAAACAAACAAAAATCCATCCCACGATACAAAGGTCTCCCATAGGCAAAAAGAATATGAGAATAAATATGAAATGAAATGTGAATTTGTCATCCTTCCTTTAAGAGCCCATACAACACAAATATTTAAAGACAAGCATTGTGCTGATATATCTCCCATATCAAGTATAAAACCAACAAGCAAGGATATGTTACTGCTCACAATTTCATGTGCAAATAGGTTGACATAGATTCTTAAGTACTATGTTCTAAATGAATCCTACTTACTATATGCAAATTACTTACTCAAAAACTGCAATTCTGTACCTCTTTTGCAAAAGAAAAGGATATCAAAGGAATTAAAAAAATACAACACTAAAATATGAATATTGTATACTTAATTGTCAACACTATGGAATACAGCATTTACTTACATAAAATATCTGTACATAAAAAATTCAGTAATCTTACAGCTTCTGTTTCACTGTGGATTGGCAGGCATTTCTTGAGTTTCAAACTGAGTGACATGCAACTACTTCAGCTTTCCAAAGAATTAGGTCAGTATTCACCTGTACAATATGGCATCCCAGGATGCCTTCATACTGTGAAATAAAATTGCAATGATTACAGTTTTGATTCAAAGAAAGCAGTTCCAAATAAATTCACTACAGAACAAATATCTACATTATTACATCCCTAAATTACAATCTAAGAAATAAAGTGTCTGAAAATTACTATTCATAATTAAAATTCAACTTCATATTCAGAATGATAAACTGTAACCACATTATGACACTTTGCAAGACATTCCCAGATTTATATATGTGGATGGCTTTCATTCAGAAGTAACTACATTCTCCCAACAATCTGCCACACAAATATCAAAACTGCTTTTGGAATAATGAATAAAATATATCATTCATTACTTCCAAACTGGATATGTTTCTTTATAATGATCAAGATGAGGAAAGTGAAATATTTCGTTCTGGACAATGTTTTCCATGGATAAACGTGAAACAAAAGGAAACATAGAAGACGATGATCCTCTTGCTAGACAGCAATAAAATCACTATCTCAGCACTGAAGATGATCAAATGCACAATACAAGTAATCGTGAAAGTCATCCTGAGATAGTAGTGAAGTGCTGAATCCATTCTTGGAATGTTTCATTGCACACTGCATGATAGCCAGTCCATATTTCATTCTTGTGACAGACTGATGTACTCCATTAAAGAGTACATGTTCCTCATTTGCACATACAGGTCATTCGAGGAGTCACAGAGGGCATTACAGAATGAGCATACTGCATTCTGAAATCGGCGAAAAAATTAGAGAACAATACACCTCAATAAATAGCAAGCAAGGGGCTGGAATCTGTTCCATCAGATGTTACAGGATCTAATGGAGTGGCTGCTGGCCTTACTTTCCATATTATCACATATGCTTCCTCATGAAATAAAATTACAATACACTAGATAACAATGCTGAATTACACCCTTATTGTGTTAGTGGTTCAGGAGTCACTAGCAATGGACAAGGAAAGCGGTATGCAGCTTTGTTCATGATTTAAACAATAGTGAAACACCTTGGGTTTCTAGATATCACATGGTTTACAGATCAAGGATGGTTTCACCTCAGTAAACATATGAATTAACAAAAAAACACTCTTGTGGGGATCACAAAATCCACAAGCAATCTATATTCATGAAAACTAGCTGTTGATCCAGTTTCCTACACACACACACACACACACACAATTGGTCTTACTTTCTTTAACTGCACTGTGAACATAAACACTTACCTCAAAATTTTAAATGCATTTGTAAACCACTTGACAGATGAGGATCAAATTACTGCCTGCTTCCGCAGCAAGATGGACAAGATTAAACTTAGGCTTTCTGGGTTATGAGACTATGTAGTCCTGCACGTAGATGCTGCCCTGAAACGTGACTATCAACCTACATGGCTACAATGCCACACTGCAAAAGGCATCACTCAAGAGTCAGTGCAATGAAAACCTCAATATATATATATATATATATATATATATATATATATATATGTGTGTCAGAAAATTTCACATATGAAATGCAAGAACAAGGGAAACTGAAAGCTTTCCTGGAGATCAGGTTACCTAAAAAAAAAAAACAAAAAAAAACAAAAAAAAAACCTCTAGCAAACACGGTCCCCACATTTAACACCACATTTCTCCCTGTGGGGCACACGTCTGCATGATAAAGCCTTGAACCACTGAACTCTAAGAGAACATTTGTCAGCAGACAGCAGTCATTCATGTCAAAATGTTGCAGAGTCTGTCAATTTTGAGCAATGAATCCATCTGTACATGGACATCAGGGACAACTACTTTCTGCACCTTATACAATGGGTTGCAATTCCTCAATGACCTAAAACTTTTCACCATCGATGCACAAATAGTGGTTTTACTACTGAAAGTCTGGTGCCTTAGTGGGAGGATCATCCCATTTTTGACGCAGTTTGCATCTGTATTACACTGTATATCACTATTAACTTTATTTAAGTGACACCAATTTAAGAAGCATATTGTGTTATCACTTCAATCATCCCCCACACGCCCAAAAAAAGAGATTCTCTGAAAAACTTCTAATTAAATTTGAACGCAAAATGAAATAATAACTACTTTCTTAAAATATGTCTACTCCTTACCTTACATTCCCTGAATGTAATAAATACAGTTTTAAAATGGTAGGCTATGTGAAATTCACACAGGATTACACTAAATACTAACCACATTAAAACAAAGGGGCCAAAACCTATGTTTAACCAACTGTAACCACTGCAAGTGAAAAGTAACAGGGCAATTTTCATTAAAATAGAACTGCTTCATGTCATACTCCAATGTGATATGTGGACTATGCTGATCCTGGTAGCACATGCTGGTGTTCTGGAATTATTAAATAGGAAAGAGAAACAATTAAGATATTTCACTCAATATCATGACTAACAGCAATTTCAAAATTCAAGTGAACATGTATTAAATGCACCAATCTGGAATACTTCATACAAATTCAATTCTCTTCTTTATAAAATACACTCCAAACCAAATTTATTAAGACCGTCATCCTGCATTTCTTCAGAAGGAAGTAAACTATCTTTATACTAACTTCCGCACACCACTAAATTCATAATTCACTTATGATGTACTCCATAAAAACATTTTTTATACAGCTGTAGGAGAGAGGAAATCTCAATGACATGCAGAGCTCTCATATTCTCCTGCATCAGCAATTCCTTCCACACAACTTAAGTCACTGCAGGCAACAAACTATAGATAGAAGTAATCCTATTTCTCAAATAGGACACAATAAACAAAAACTAATATAAACCCATGGTATCAATGAAGATTATTGTCTTCATGGATGTGATATTGTGTAGTTTGGTAGACTGGTGAAAATATTTCAAAG